GGTTCTCAGTGTGTAATGACAGTTCAGCATCTCCTGGTTACCTAGTAACCAGGGGACACTGGACTGTCATTACACAATGAGAACCCGGTGATGCTGCCATCATATCACTGCGCGCTGCCGGGTTCTCAGTGTGTAATGACAGTTCAGCATCTCCTGGTTACCTAGTAACCAGGGGACGCTGGACTGTCATGAGAGCTTGTCGGAGCCGGCTTTGATATGACCGCCGGTTCCGACAAGCTCTCATTTTAATGACAACTGGTCCCGTGCAATAGAAAAAGTTTGGCGGAGCTAGCTGTCACTGCTAGCTCCGCCCAATCATTTGCTCCTTTTTTTCTACTTTTTCTATTCTGCTCGGTACCGCAGAGGTACCGAGCAGAATAGCTGAGCCGAATGGCGCTCGGCGGCATTCGGCTATTCACTCACTGCTGTTTGGCCCCTATGAGAATAGGCCGAACAGCAACGAGTAGCCTGCCGGAGGTTCGGCTAAGCCGATCCATATGTTGGATCAGCGGGGTCAAACTCCTTCTGCACTTCGGCCGACCCGAACCCAGCCGCAGCAAGCCGTTGTACGGCTGATTTCAGTCGGTGTACGGCTGAAATCAGCTGTACAAGCCTGAAGTGAATAGCCGAACAGCGTTCGACTCACTTCACTTCGGGCCGGTTATTCACACATAGGGGGTTATTCACAGCTTTGTGAATAACCCCCTATGTGTCCCCAGTTATTTACAAACACTGGAGTGATCACACGATCACTCCGGTGTTTGTGCTGCACAGGGGATCGGTAAATATCAATTATATTTATTGATCCTCCGTTCGGCCATGCACAAAGCTGCTGTCATCTAGAAACTGACGGGATGGCAGCGGCTCCATTCTCCTCACCACTCAGCCTTTATTTTAATCACAAGCAGCAGAAGTACAACATCCGTAATAACAATGCAGCCACAGTGTTAAAGTCCAATAGGTCAAGTGCAAACAGAAACAGTGCTGCTCTTTGTCTGAACAGGGAATGATACAATGATCAGAGAAGAAAATAAGACATATTTAACAAAGGTTAACCACTTCTGCTAAAGGGGATTTTTCCTGTCTCTGGTGTCTTAGGGAGCAATCTAATGATCAACTTGACGTTTCCAAAGAACATAAAGAGGTTTATAGAGAAAGAGAGAAATAAGAAAAAAAAAGGGACAGCTCAGAGGGGGAAAAGCATAGTGGAGAAGGGGGAGGGAAGGAAAGGGAGAATGGGGTGGGGAGGGGAGGGAATGGGAGGGTTGGGAAGAGACCATTCAACTCCAGGTCAGGACAGGGTAGAGTATACGTAGTTGACGGAGTCTAAGCGATACACTGTGGCGCCATTGGAGACTCCGAGGAAAGGAGGTATGCGTGCCAATAGAACCATCTTTTATTGAATTTAGCTTCCTGATGATGTGAGGAGGCTGTCATGCACTCCATCCTCTGGGTTTCCCGTACTTTCGAGATCCACATTGCAGTGGTGGGGACAGTTGTAGTTTTCCAGAGTAAGGGGATGCGCATTTTAGCAGCATTCAGAAGGTGTATCAACAAGGATCATTTATACCTGTTTCTGGATAAGGCAGACAGGTGAAGGAGGATAGCAGCCGGGTCATTCTGGAGATCTATCACAGTTAGTGTCTTACATATAACTTGCACATCTGCCCAGAAGTTTCCCAAACGAGGGCAAGACCAGAAGATATGTAGCAAGGATCCCTCCATCTCATTGCAACGCCAGCATTGATTAGAAGTGTGTGGCCAAATCTTGTGCAGAATGGAGGGAACCCTATACCAGCGTGTGAGCAGTTTGTAGTTAGCTTCCTGCGTTTTGCAAGCAATGGAGGCCTTGTGAGAGAAATATAACATGTCCGCTCTTTGTTCCATCGATAGAGATAGCTGTAGGTCTTGCTCCCATTTAAGAAGAAATGGAGGCACATATGAGTCAGCAGGAGTTATGAGTAGCTTGTAAACCCTGGATAGAGAATGATTAGAGGGGGAATGATTAGAGACATAATCGGTCGAACAACGTAAGTGGTGGAGGGATTGTGGATCCAGGGACCATGCTCGCCAGAAAGGGGCGGAGTTGCATCGATCTCCAGGGATCCAGTGGTGGTTCAACAAACGCGGTAAGTCCATCTCGGGAGCACAGACGGCCATTGATCAAAAAATCGCCTAGCCTGCATTTCCCCATATCCCTCAATTTCTTGGAGTGGTTGTCTCCTCTATTCAGAGGGCAAGCAGGATGATCTAACACTGGGGACATTCTGGATACCCCCCGACTCTGGCCCAGCAGATCTGTTACTGAGTGGAAGGCCTTCAGTGTCGGACCTATAAGGGGGTGTGCCAGCTGGACTCGTATATCGGAGAGGGGCATCCACTGGAGATAGCATAGTGGAGTCTGGGAGAATAGTTGTTCCATGGGTACCCAAGGTTTCAACAGGGCGTCTCTACACCAGGACACAATCCTTGCCAGATGTGCCGCCCTATAATAAAGAGTGGGGTCCGGGAAAGCCATGCCGCCATGCTCCTTGGGTAGCAGTAGAGAGTGGTATGAAAGACGCGGGCGGGATGGAGACCATAGAAAGCGTAAAAATTCCCTTCGCATCGTTTGGAGGAAGGGGGTTGGGACATATATGGGAAGTGTTTGGAAAAGGTACAAAAATTTATGGAGTATAGTCATTTTCAAGACTGCATTCTTAACAAACCAGGTATGGTATGAGCGGGTCCACATGTTTAGATCTTTGCTAACCAACTTGAGCAAGGGCGGGAAGTTTGCAGAGAAAAGGTGATCTAAGCTAGGCGTGATCTTAACTCCCAGATATTGAATATGGTCTGATACCCAGGGGAACGGGCAGTGGGCTGACATGTTGGTTACTCGATGTGGAGGTATGGATACATTGAGCATAGCCGATTTGTGGAAATTGATTTTAAAATTGGAAAGGTCTCCATATTGGTAGAGTGTTTTGATTATATTTGGGATTGTGGTCTCGGGGGAGGTGACAAAAAACAGTAGGTCGTCGGCAAAAGCCGCGACCTTATGAGTGGTATCTCCAACCAAAATACCCTTGATGTCACAGTACAGTTTTTACGAATATGACAAAGGAGGGGTTCCAACGTAAGTATGAAGAGTAGTGGGGAGAGCGGGCAACCCTGACGGGTACCATTGGATAAAGGGAGATTTTTTTTATCCCCGTTGCCACAGCCCCTACAAGCGGGGGACCGCAGCGGGGATCCATGGAGTCACAGATCCCTGCCTGTAGCAGCTCCAGGCAGGGATGAGAGGCTCCAGATGCCGGCAACTTTTCCCATTGATTTGAATTTCAACTTCTGCGTTGCTAGCGTTTGTAAAATACCCCCAAAACCATATATTTTCTGAAAGCGCAGGCCCGGTAGAATAAAAAGATGGTGATACTAAATTTGTAGGCCCTGCGATAATTGCGCAAATGTTTCTCAAATTAATATTAAACTGATAAAAATACACAATTCAATTGTTAAAACACACTAAAATCAGTATCAATGTTATGTGGGGGGGAGGGAGGGGTTGTGCTTTTTTTTGTACACATTATTTTTTTTTAATTTTAATTTTTTTTTACATTTTCTATTTATTTTTTTATAATTTTTTTTACTGTTGCGGGGGCTGCAGTGAAATATCTGGGGTCTAAATAGACCCCTGACATTTCCCTTTTGAAACAGAAAAAGAAATTGAGGACATAGAGTCCTCAATTTCTTTTTCTGCAGCCCCAGCACTCAATGAATGGGAAGCACTCAGTACAGAGGCTTCTCATTCATTCAGAAACTAATGATAGTAAAAATATCTTACTATCATTAGTTTATTAATTGGGAAGGAGCCTCTGTAGTGAGTGCTAGTCACCCATTCAGCTAAGTCCCCATTGGCTTCCCGGCCAGTCAGCATCGAGCTGGCCAAACAGAATGGAGTTGGCTTCCTGGGCAATCAAAAAGCCTGGCAGTGGGCAATGACACGCTGCCTGGCTCCCTGATTGCCCGGGAAGCCGGCTCTTTGCTACTAAAAGTACCGGTATCAGTACTCGGTATGGGCGAGTACCGAAATATAAATATCGGTACCCGATACCGAAAAACCGGTATCAGTGCATCCGTAGTGATGATTATTAATATTATTTTAAAATAATAATAATGATACCGGGGGACATAATAAAAATAACACCAGGGGACATAATAATAATGACACTGGGGGACATAATAATAATGACACCAGGGGACATAATAATATTAATGACATGGGGGAGGCATAATAATAATGACACTGGGGGACATAATAATAATGACACCAGGGGACATAATAATAATGACACCGGGGGACATAATAATAATGACACGGGGGGACATAATAATAATGACACCGGGTGACATAATAATAATGACACCGAGGGACATAATAATAATGACACTGGGGGGAAATAATAATAACACCGGGGGACATAATAATAATGACACTGGGGGGATATAATACTAATGACACTGTGGGGACATAACAATAATGACACCGGGGGACATATAAAATAATGACACTGGGGGAAATAATAATGATAATGACACCAGGGGACATAATAATAATGACTCCAGGGGACAAAATAATAATGACACCAGGGGACATAATAATGATACAGGGGGGGACATAATTATAATGACACAGGGGACACACACACACACGTAATAATGACTCCAGAGGACATAATAATAATAATGACACCAGGGGACATAATAATGATAATGACACCAGGGGACATAATAATGATAATAATGACACCAGGGGACATAATAATTACACAGAGGGGACATAATAATAATGACACGGGGGGACATAATAATGACTCCAGAGGACATAATAATAATAATGACACCGGGGGACATAATATTAATAATGACACCAGGGGACATAATAATAATAATGATTCCAGAGGACATAATAATAATACAGGGGACATGCTCAGGTGTCATTATTATTATTGTTGCTATTCTATGCAGTGGAAGTGGTAGGGGGCGAATTATCCACACATTTACCATGAAAGTAGAATTATGGGGAGAGTGAAATGCACTCTTCCCCCTAGTTACTGAAGCTGCCACAGGTTGACTCTCTTGACCGAGAACTGAACGATCACATACCGCCGATCACTCAGTTCTTGCACTCACTCTCTCTGCAGAGAGCGGTGACTGTCAGTCACGGCTCCTCGCAGGAATACCCCCCTCCCCTCTCTGATCCTCCAACGCTGACTGGAGGAATGGATGGGGTGGACACAACCTCTAGAGAGGTAGAGTCAGCTGTCAATCAGGTGGTGGGGTGGATCTGGACAATATTTTTTGGATCCATCCCAGCTGCAGCGCTGCTCTGCTCTGTCAGCATATAGCTGGCAATATTGCATGGGGGGCGTGGTGGGGGGCCCAAGAACATGTTTGCCCGGGGTCCACTCAATATTAAAGACGGCCCTGGTGTCTTATAATTCTGTATTTTATCTGGAATCAAATGTCTAGGAAGCAACGGCTTCCTCCAGGTCCTTCCCCCCTCCCACTGATTGGGAACCTGCTACAGCTCAGGAATGGAGACATGGCAAACACTCTCATGGAGGTTAGTCAGTTTCACTGATAAAGTATAGTGTATTTACAAACATATTCTGAGTTATTGTTGTGTTTTATTTAAAGCCGAAGTATTATTTGCTTATATTTGCCTTCCCTGGTCCCTCCTGGTCCCTCCTTTCCCCCCTCATCAGCATACCAATTACATTTTTAAAAATAAAATCTTTCTGTTTTCCTAACATACCTTATTTTACATTCAGTTATGTCATCACTTAGGGGTCTATTCACGAAGCTGCCGAAGGATCTGGCCGTAGCTTCGGCCGATCCTTCGGCTAGCTTCGGCTCCAGGACCCCTTCAGTTCAGTAGAACCAACCGAAGGGGTGCTGTACGGGCTATTCACAATAGCCCGTACAGCTCCCGATCATGGCCGAGCGGCTCAGCCGAGCCGAACGCATTTGCATCGTGATCTTACGGCTGGCTCCGGCCACTTGCAGTGAGATCAGCGTCCCTGGTTACCTGCTAACCAGGGACACTGATCTCCAAACAGAAAACTCTCCCTGGCGCCCCGGAAGTCTCCTGCTCCCAGCCGCCAAGGAGAGAAACACTGCTGTGTCCTTTTTTCTTTATTCTGACACGATCGATGTCAGAATAGAAAAAAAAACAACAATTTTTCCCATTGAAAAGCATTGGGACATTATTGGGACAAATTGAAATAGCCAATAGTAAAGCCAATAGTAAACTAGCATTGTACCCGCCCTCTGCAGTTCCCCCTCAGGTCCATCAGCAGAGGGCGGGAACAATGCTAGTTTACTATTGGCTTTACTATTGGCTATTTCAATTTGTCCCAATAATGTCCCAATGCTTTTCAATGGGAAAAATTGTTGTTTTTTTTTCTATTCTGACATCGCTCGTGTCAGAATACAGAAAAAAAGACACAGCGGGGTTTCTCTCCTTGGCGGCCGGGAGCGGTAGGCTCCCAAAGCGTCCGGGAGATTTCTTTCTTTTCACAGCAGCAGAGCCGCTGGACAATAGGAAACTATTGGGCGGAGCTAGCTGTCACTGCTAGCTCCGCACAATCGTTTGCTATTTAATTTTTTTTATTTTTTTCACTCTTTTTCTGTTCTGCTCGGTACCTCTGAGGGACCGAGCAGAACAGCCGAGCCAAATGCCTCTCAGCGGCATTCGGCTATTCACTCACTGCTGTTCGGCATTTTTAAGAATAGCCCGAACAGCAGTGAGAAGCCTGCCGGAGGTTCGGCTCAGCCGATCCAGATGTTAGATCGGCTGAATCGAACTCCTTCTGCACTTCGGGTTGGCCGAACATGCTGAGCATGTTCGGCCGACCCGAAGCCACGGGAAGCAAGCCGATCTACAGCTGATTTCAGCCGATGTACAGCTGAAATCAGCCGTACCAGCCTGAAGTGAATAGCCGAACAGTGTTCGGCTCACTTCACTTCTGATTGGTCATTCACTCGGCTGCCCTCGGCAGCTTCGTGAATAGACCCCTTAGTCTCTGTGTTTCTCAATTGAATGCAGGCAGATCATGGCTGGTGTGAGGGACTGGCAGGGTGCTGTACATAGCTTCCAATAAACATCACATCATCCTGCCTCAGTAATCTATCAAGAGTACTGAGCCCTGATGCAAGCAATGGTCTGGCTCTAGGGAAGAGTGCTAAACAATGCTAGATGTTCTCCAACCAGGAAATGAGGCTGGCTCTATCTGACTTGCTGTAGTTTTGTTAACACGCATTGTGAGAAGCTCACAGTGTGCAGTGAAATCAAAGTAAGTAATTTCAGTACACAAGGGAAGGCTGGAGTTCAGCTTTTAAAAATGCTTTGGCTATGACCTTAATATTTTACAAGCTTGCTCTTCCATATTTAATTATGGTATTTAAGAAAATGTATCATGCAATAAAAACCACATTCTGATCTGACAAGATAGCTGCTCATTTTATACAAGTGATCCAAGATCACTTGTACTAAGTGAGCGGTGGCTCCCCCCATCTACATTTAGCTCTACTAGCCCACAGCAGGACTAAATATAGTAAAAATTACCATCCCGCTGCCCAGAACTGCATGTCCCAGGCGTCGGGCGATACGAATTCCACAACACTGTCATTATAGAGAGGCTTGTAGATTACCCACTAGCACTCTGTGGAATTACTCTGTCTTTCTCTTAAGGGCTGTTGGGGTAAGATAAAAGCAGCATAGAGAGTGCAATGTTTTAACCACTTGCCGTCCTCCCATTGTAAATACACAGGCGGACGGTAACCTCTTCCCAGCGGGTGGACATACATGTACGTGATCTCCAGCCGGCCAATCGCTTGTATGACAACAAACAGCGCCTGCACCCCCCTCCGATGCCCTGCCCCCCCTCAGCTGCGGCACTCCCCCCCTCCACCGCCACTGCGGTTACAGCGGCTGTGTACTCTGTACATGTAGGAGAGATCAGCATTCTTCCACTGTTGATCTCTACTCCTCTCCCTCTAAAGGCGGAAGCGATGTGTATTACATCACTTCCGCCTTTAGCTGTCATTTCTCTGGCTGCTATAGCCAAAGAAGAAGCTGGTGAGAATGCTTCATCAGCTTCTTTGAGGGTCCCAAGGGGACATTAGGGGGCTTAGAGACCCCTGATGTCTCCATAAAGAGGACCTGTCATTGTATACTGGCTATCACATAGTGGGTTTGTTAGCCCCCTATGTGATACCAATAAAGTTAAGTGCAAAAAAAAAAACAACTAATGTGTCATATTAAAAAAAAAAAAACACACCAAAAAAATTTAAGTCTCCCACGTGCACGCAGATATACACATAAATACGCATCGGGTGAGACTATGTATGCGAAAACAACGATTACGCCACACCTGTTACATATCGCCACGAACATCAGAGTGCAAGCAAGAATTCTAGGGTCATCATTTACTGATAACATTAAACTGATGAGCGGTAAAAGTTTTTAAAGCTTCACCTATGGCCAATTTTAGGCATGGTATTTTTTGCGTTTTCGCGGGACCAATTTTAAAGCTTGACATGTTTGGTGTCTATTTACCCGACGTGACCCCATCTTTTATATTTTACCAAAAAATTGGGTACTGATAAATGTTTTATAACATAACATAGGGAAAACAGTTTTTTTCTCAAAATTTTCGGAACTTTTTAATTAGATAGTAAAAAAATAAAAAACCCCAGTGGTGAATAAATACCACGAAAAGAAAGCTCTATCTGTCCCCTAAAAATGGTATAAAATTAATTTCAGTACAGCGTTGCATGATTGAATAAATGCCTGGACAGGAAGGGGGTTTAACAGTCTGGTCGGCAGGTGGTTAATAAGTCAGTTGACTTAGACTTACATTGTAAGAAGAAGATGTAAAGCACAATCATTCTGTAGCACTTGAGATAAAGCAGAGGCTGAATATGTAATTACACTTGATCAAACACTTTTACAACATCAGTTGCAAAGATTTCCTTTTTTCCATTCAAAGATATTAAAGTATAAGGGCAAAACTTTTTTTTGTAGATTCTAATAGAATGGTTAGAACACCTGCCAGGTTTTTATTGCTGTCTATGTCCCCTTTAGGGAGATTAGGTAAATCTTACATTTTGAGTTAACACCAGAACAGGAATAGAGGAGAAATCTTCCAATGGAGACACTTGTTTCTGTGACAACTATATAAGAGAGGATTTCCCTCACATTTGAAAGATACACTAAATTACCAAAAGTATTGGGACGCCTGCCTTTACATGCACATGAACTTTAATGGCATCCCAGTCTTAGTCCGTAGGGTTCAATATTGAGCTGGCCCACCCTTTGCGACTATAACAGCTTCAACTCTTTTAGGAAGGCTGTCCACAAGGTTTAGGAGTGTGTCTATGGGAATGTTTGACCATTCTTCCAGAAGCACATTTGTGAAGCCAGGTACTGATGTTGGACAAGAAGGCCTGGCTTGCAGTCTCCGCTCTAATTCATCACGGAATCCAATGATTTGGAGGGGTGTCCCAATACTTTTGAAAATATAGTGTATCATCTCACTTCCTGTTCAAACTACAGGACAGGAAATGTTCCTAATATTTGATATGTTTTGTCCACAGCTGGGTAAGCAATATGGCTCCATTTACACCTTCTACTTTGGGCCGCACCCTGTGGTCATATTTTGCGGCTATGATGCAGTGAAGGAAGCACTGGTAGATCATGGAGAAGACTTTACAGGACGAGGAAGACAGCCAACAGTAGACAGAGTCTTCCAAGGATACGGTAAAAGATAACACTCTATAGTGTTCTGTGTCTGTAGAGAGAAAAGGAATTGTGTTATGGCCACGTTTAGTGGTCAGGTCTTGTTAGAAGGTAGTAGCCTACACTTGTACAGTAGTAGTAGTATACAGTTGTATTTGTAAAGTAGAGGGATCATCAAGAATATCGTACAGGGCCCTAGGACAGCCCGTTGTGGATAAAGTCTTCCTAAACTTTAGTAAAAGCATATGTAAACCGCAAAGTGTCCTATGTCCGTATGCAGCAGTATTGTATTTAGATGATCGTATCAAATGGTTAGGTAATATCGAACATTTTATTTAAGTCGGCTCATGTTGGAATCTTTTTTACAGAATGGATACTCATAGAAAGTGCTTGAGTCTCTTGAGGGTCCTGTGATCTACACTATGGGGTCTAGTCACGAAGCAGCCGAAGGATCTAGCCGTAGCTTCGGCCCCAGGACCCCTTCGGTTCAGTAGAACCGAAGGGCTGCTGTACGGGCTATTCAGTATAGCCCGTACAGCTCCGAAGTCGGCCGGGCGCACAGTCGAGCCGAAGGCATGTGCTTCGGCTCGACTGAGCCGAGGTGAAAGCCGAAGCTGGCCGAGTGGCCGGCCGACAACCTGCTTCTGACAGCTGGGCGGAGCCAGCCGTGATCTTACAGCTGGGCGGAGCCAGCCGTGATCTTACAGCTGGCTCCGGCCACTTGCAGAGAGATCAGCGTCCCTGGTTACCAGCTAACCAGGGATACTGATCTCTAGACAGCCCCGCCCACTGCTGGAGTTCTCCATCAGGTCCCCACTAGTGATATACAGCAGCAGAGGGCTGGTGTAACAGCTAGTTTGCTATTGCAAATTGAAATAGCCAATAGGAATCTAGCAATACATTCCTATGGTTTTTTGTTTTTTTTTGACGGCAGCAGAACTGCCGGCCTATAGAAAACAGTTGGGCGAAGCTAGCTGTCATTGTACGTACAAACCTGAATTGAATAGCCGAATAGCGTTCGGCTCACTTCACTTCAGGTCGGTCGTTCACTCGGCTGCCTATGTCAGCTTAGTGAATAGACCCCTATGTTTTTATGAACTATTATACATTTGTATTATGTGTATGAACACCGGTCAGGTGGCGTTGTTGGAGCATAGTGTGCTGTATCTGTAGAGTATGTAAGAGAATTGGATTATGATAATGTCCAGTAGGAACGAGATGAGAAGTCATGCAATGCTCTTTTGCAGTTATTATTAGGCTATAAAATCCTCATTATTTTTCAGGTTTAATGGCTAGTGAAGGCAATCGTTGGAGGCAACTTAGACGCTTTTCTCTGTCAACACTGAGAAATTTTGGTTTAGGAAAGCGCAGCATTGAAGTACGTATTAAGGAGGAATGTGACTATCTAGTGGAGGAAATCAAAACACACAAAGGTAAAATATTGTAACAAAGTAAAAATAGGTCAAATGTCTATGATTCCCTTGCATGAACTTTTGAAAGAACTTTGAACCTTGGAAGAACCATTATGCTTCATTTGTATTCAGCGCAAATAGTGATCAAAAAGTTGAAACAGAGATGGGCCTGATCTAATAAAGTACACAAGGTGGTTATGACACTTGATCTTGATGTTCTTTGTCTAGTCTTCAACCAATAAGATATCACCTTCTGTTTCAGCAAATTCTGTTTGTCTCAGCAAACGTGAAGTTATATTAAACATGCTAAACTTTCTTTTGTATGTAATAGCATACACTCTCAAGTGACTGCATGCCAGAATGTTTTTTCATTTGAGCAGCCAAAAAGTATATCTCCAAACTTACTGAAATAAGAAGAGGAACACACACTGGGGGAATTTATTAAAACTGGAGCAAACAGATTCTGGAGCAGTTGCCAACCAATCAGCATCTCTTTTCAGTTTATTCACTTAAGATTTGAGAATGAAAGATAGAAGCTGATTGGTTACAATGCACAGGTGCTCCAGATTTTGTCTGCTCCAGTTTTGATAAATTCCCCTAAATGTAATTAGGCAATGGATCAGACCATGCCACAACTCCAGTTATGTGGACCACTATGAAATCTTTATGCCAAAAATGATTGGTTAAAGCCAGAATTGTCTTTTTTTTCACCACTACTTTTCCTTTATACTGGCTTATTAGAATAGCAAACAAGATAAATAAGAGATAACAGAAAGGTTTTAGTGCAGCTAAACACTTTGGTTGTCATAAAGTAAATTTTTATAGATATCTGTACATCAGACCAAAAAGAGGAAGAACTGGGGAGGAAAGAGGGACAGAGGGATTTGGTTCCAAGTGAGGGACAGTCCCTCCATCCAAATCAGGGATAGGGGGAAGGTATGCATAAGCCCTGTTTAGTATTCTAATTTTGACCAGCCAATATATTTAGGAGCTTGGCCTAACCATTTGAACATAACTGTTGGCCCACTTTAATACTAGTAGCCTCACTGGCCAGTAATGCGGTACAGAGGGCTGAGCTAGAGCCAGGTCCAGCTGGTATAAATTTGCATTGCAGCACACACATGGATTTGGTCTCCTTGGAGGCTCAGTAGGAAAACTAAAATGATGTACTATATGCAGGCCCGGATTCCCCACAAGGCCACAGCGGTGTGGAATCCCCCGACGCCCGGAACATAAAGTTCTGGGCGCCGGGTGGTAAGTTGCCTTCTACATTTAGTCCTGCCTTGGGAGGGCAGGACTAAATGTAGTGTGGGGAAGCCGCTTGTTCATTTACAAGTGATCACGGCGATGTCGCCACGATCACGTGTACAATCTATGCAGCCTGTCTGTCCTCCCGTCCTGGCGGGGAGGGGGGTGCATTGCGGAAAATGGCCTTTGGGCAGCAGGGAGAGTAAATCCGGCCCTGACTATATGGTCGGCTGGAGCTATTATTACATACCACTGAGGATTTATCTTGCTTACACTTTACTTTGGCTTTAGATATGCTTTTCTATGATGTTCTTAGATATCATAAGACAGTGATATATACTGTCAAAACACAGCTTTCGGAAGATGCCCTTCTCCTCTATTGACATCTGCTCATATAAGCTCCCTTAAAGTGAACGCAAACCCCCTAATTTTTTTTTTGTATGTTTGGCATATTGATTCACCATATATAGTTTTCTTACCTGGTGATTAAAGCAGTTCCTGTTTCAGGCTGACAACACAATTAGGGCAGTTTTGTCAGCCTGCCGTGTGTGCTCTGTCAGTTGGCTGTTGGGGTCCTCATCAGGTCCATCAGTCCTATAGCTATCTCAATAGTTGATGGAACATAGATAGCAGGCTGAAAACACTGCTGCCAATGGCTAAGTGTTGTCAGCCTGTCAACAGGAAGTGCTGTAACTGGCAGGATCTCCAAGAAAGAGACGTTGCAATAGACTAAACCAGATGAAATAAAAAACTGTATACAATGAATCATGGTGGCAAATATACTGAAAACTAGATGTAGGGTTTACACACACTTTATATTGTTTATGTGTGCCTAGATGTATACAAGCTACATTGCAGAATTATTCTCAGCTAATGGGAACTTCTGATAAAACGGTACTTACACACACACTGACACTTTTTGCTATTGTTAGCACTGTATGTATGTTTACTATGTACTCCACAATTAACAATAGGGAATATTTTGACTCATTGTAAATAAAAGACAATTCTTAGTATGTTCCCCATGTCATTCCAGGACTCCAGTTTGATCCAGCCATCATGATCACTAAAGCCGTAGCAAATGTAATCTGCTCTATTGTGTTTGGAAGTCGCTTCCAGTATGACGATGCCAAGTTCCATAGGATGCTGAGTATCTTCTATGAAACATTTGAGCTCATGAGCTCCACCTGGGGGCAGGTACCACAAGAACATAGCCAATATGCAGGGATTACGTTGCTATAACCAAAAAATGAAACATCCTTTAATCCTTAATTATATATAGAACCTATAACGAAACAAGGAGGCTGCTAGTGCTGATCTTCCTCTGAAAATATTTGTTGCCCGGCTGTTATACTAATCCTCTGACTTCAATAATTTGTCTGACCTGGAACAAGAATGGAAATCAGTAAAGTCAGAGTGCAGCCTGAGGCCCATATCTGATGCTTATTTTAGATTTGTGGTTAAAATTATTAAAGTTAGAGTCATGGCTCCTCTAAAGTTCACACTGACACAGAATGGAACTTAACCTGGACCATTTGCTAATTATGTTTCAATCAGTCTATCTCACCCAGGGATGCCTTGAAATTTTTGCTGAGCATCATGCCTTTCCACAGTGCAGGGGGGAGGGGGGCAGCCACCAGCACCATAGAAATTATTGTTGGTAATCCAGGGAGGGTGGGATCCATTCAGGAAAGGACAGAGGTTTGGCTTTATCCAGGTCTGCTCTGTCTGCCTTGCTGCTGCAGCTGTGTCTCTCTGATGTGAAGAAGTGCTTGTGATGTCAAGTGAGTACAATGATGTGAAAGAGGGGGACTATGATGTGAAAGGAAGGGGCCCTGGTGTGAAGGAGGCTTCTGACATGAAGAGGGGTTTCTCATGTAAAGGGAGAATTCTGAAGGAAAAGGGGGGCTCTCATGTGAAGAGGCTTCTAATGTGAAGAGGGGCTCCTGATTTAAAGGGGGACTCTGATGTGAAGGGGAACCCCGCTTTTTTGTGTTTTTGCATGGGGTTCCCCCTTAAAATCCATTCCAGACCCCTATCTTGGATAAGGGTCTGGTATGGTCTTAGGAGGTGGCACATGTCATTTTTTACATTTTTACATTTCCATTTCAGACTGGGGTGCCTATGACTGAAAAAAGGTTTAGAAACTCTTGTTTAAATTGAAAATCTGGCTCATCTTTAGTAATGAATCTGTTGCAGACCTTGCAAATCTGTCTTTATCTGTCTATTGGCTGCCCAGGACTTCAGACACACAGGTCACAAATACACTGTAGACCTGTCACGGAGCCTTTGCTCGAGAGGCAGCCTGATTTGCATCCATTGTACTGTATTTGCCAGTGTTTATTATCATAAACACCACACTGATCATGATGTCATCTTTGCACACAATTAATAATTAAGTATGTTGATTGTGAATTAAATTTACATCAACATATTTCACAATGCTGGAAAAGAGTATAGATATACTGTAGATAACAATAACAAATGATCCTTGGTGTGTAATTCATTCTATATCTCTCTATAGGTTTATTTTTTAGCAAAATATAAAATGTTAGGTGAGGTACTTCCTTGTTGTATGAGAAAGTGACTTGGTATAAGCTGGAACTGTTTCATATTTCCTAGACAAACACATTTATAATATGTATTTGCAGGTACAAGACATGATCCCCATGATAATGAACCACATCCCCGGCCCTCACCAGAAAATTACTACACTGCTGGAGGAGCTGAATGATTTTGTAGCTGAGAGAGTGAAGATCAACAAGGAGTCACTGGACCCAAATGAGCCCAGAGATTACATTGACTGCTTCCTTATCAAAATGCAGCAGGTACTCGCACAGTGTAAATTAGGTTTGATGTGAGAATTGGGGTACATTTATAGTAAACCGGTTCTAGTTATCAAGAGAGTAATAATGGTTATTATGCAGATAGATGGTGATATGGCAATTCTCTTCACTGCCTTTTCAGAGCCCCAAAAATTCCCTGGTTTCCAGCCTACGGGCAGAGTAAGCATGTTCCCCATATACAGTATGTGTTATATCTATCAGTGTTTCAAAAACCTTTTGTTACACCTAAATACTGTCATGTGGGGCAAAAAGAGGAACATGCCTTATGTTTCAAAAAGTCAGTATACACAAAGGAACCTCTTCCAGTGGTATATTTAATATCATATTCTAAAGTAGGTACATCAAACTGGTGTTTTATGGGCCACATGTGACCCTCTCACTTCTTTTTAGCCCTCACTGGTTTAAGGATAGAAAACAAACCAATGCGTTCACATCTGTTTTTCAGTTGAAGTTTCACTCACTTATACAATTTTGCATCTAATTTCTTCAGGAAATGGATTATGACAGCTTGCTCTGGGATTAAATATTGTAAATTGCAACTGTTACTCTAATTTTATTTTGGGAGTACCATAATCTTTTTACAGAATTAGGTAAATGAGGCCCTCATTGTACACAATGCAGGCCATTTAAAGATTCTGTCCTCTCAGATCAATATACTTTTTTATGTGAGTTTGACATTCCTAATCTAAAGCTATCTGTCTGGAGCTATGCTTTAAAACTTTTTGTTAGTAATACATTAATACATATTGTATATGTAGAAGCAAACAGAAGATGTATGTATAAATTTTAAAATAATACAAATATTTAATTTTCTTTTTTTTTTTACACAGTATATTATTTTTATGTCAGCAAGTGTTATAGTAACATAACTGGATGCCATTTTAAATCCTGTCAGTGTCGGGTTGGAGTGGCCTCAATGTTCATATTCCTGAAGATATAGTAAAAGTGGCCTTGATTTTTTTTAAATTAGGGAAAGTTTGGATGCTTTACCTAATATTGTCCTCATTTTAGATTTCAAAAAGCAGGAAAGTATGTGATCATTGGGATTTAAAGGACCCCTAACAATTTAATATCTTTATGCTTTTAGGAAAAGGATAATCCTGACTCAGAATTCAACACGAAGAATTTAATTCTGACTCTTAACAACCTGTTTTTTGCTGGTGGGGAAACTGTGGCTACAACTCTGAAACATGGATTCCTCATACTTCTGAAGTACCCCGATATACAAGGTGTGTACATAACACAGGTAAAGAAAGTAAAAACACAATACATATTGTTTTATAAAATAGTCACAATTTCTTAGATACTTCTGTCTACTTTGTATGTTACAAATTTTGCATTACTAGATGACCCAAAGGGTAACATTATATTTGAGCAGTAACCCATCAATAATCATGAACACTAAACCTAAATGTAAGCCTAACTCTATAACACCAGTTGAATGATATCCACAGCGCTCAGCAGACCATTGCTGGATAATCCTCAGAACAGGTTTATCCAAAGGAAGATATCCCTTCTCCTTTTCCTAAATTTTTGATTTCCCATCACTTTTTGTGTTAAAGAAAATGGTCACCAGGCCCAATAGTGTGGAGTATTCTCCCTTTGGGGACACAGGGAGCAATTAAAACAAGGCAGGGGTTCTAATTCTTCGACATGTCACATTTAAGAAATGTGGCTTTACATATTGTTATTATTATACGGGATTTATATAGCGCCAACAGTTTTCGCAGCGCTTTACAATATAAGGAAGACATTACAATCACAATACAATTCAAGACAAGATGGTAGGGAGGGCCCTGCCCGTGAGGGCTTACATATAATTTAGGGCATCTGCTTGGCATTTACAGTATCTTTCTGCTGAACAGACTTCAGCTTTAATTACCGAGATGCAAACATGCATGCGTCTCTGAAGGTAATGGATCTGCTGGAGGGCAGTCTGAAAGTATATTTAGGTGACCACATGTAGGTTCTTTGCACACATACAGCACATGGTGTCAAGTACTTTACTAAACCAGGTGTGGTGCCAGTAAATGCACATGAATGCTCCAATGGAATTGGAAGTTTTGGTTGGTGGGCTGTATAAGTCAAGCATGTCTACTCCCCTTTTCCTCAGTCCCTTTCTGCATATGATATAATATAACCAATTCTTGACTAGAGGTTATCAAAGTTTAGATGCTCTGACTGCACCCTGTCAGCATGACTGGAACGCAGTAAAGACGGTTATACAATACTTAAAAGGAACAATTCAGATGAAGCAACGACTGCCAGTAGCGTCAAATCCAAAACTAGTTGGATATGCAGATGCTGATTGGGCCAGAAACTGCACAGACCGCAAATCCACCAGTGGTTACAACTTCCAATATGGAGAAGAAACTATAAGTTGGTCTAGCCCAGGGGTGGGCAACCTTGGCTCTCCAGCTGTGCTGAAACTACAAATCCCATCATGCTTCTGCCTCAGGGAGTCATGCCTGTGGCTTGCAATGCCTAGTGGGATTTGTAGTTTCAGCACAGCTGGAGAGCCGAGGTTGCCTACCCCTGGTCTAGCCAAAAGAAAGCAAGAGAAGAAAAAAAAGGGATGCATAAAGCTGGCACAATAAAATAGGGTCAACCCTAGAACCAAGCACATCAACGTAAAGTACCATCTGCTTAGGGACACTCAAAAGCAAGCTATTATTATTGACATGCAATATTGTTCATCAGAATAAATGACTGAGGATGTACTCACCAAGTAATTGCTGAAGGATCATCACAGTTTCCTTCGAGAGAAGCTAAACATCAGGGGAGGGAAGGGGTGTTGGAAATACAACAGCATATGCTGATGTGTACTTATATGTCTTTTGAGCTGTAGATGGCAGTGTAGTGCAATGTTACTCTCTATATGCATGCTTATCTACGATACACAGGAATTTTTCCTAAATATATGTTTCCCGTGCTATATACATACATGTGACATTCTTCTAAGCAAGTAAAACTTCATTCAGCATTCCTCAAGATCTCAGTGCTTCATCTAAACACATAGCCAACATTTATCACCATCAATATGCATCAGTTATCTTTTAACTTTAACTTGTCAGTTTGACAGCAGGGTCTGAGATCGAGTAGCATGCACAGGAGCACATTCCTAGTTCTATGCTGCATTATTTATTGTTCTCATGGCATGGGGCTTTGTGCTAGAGGAAGACATAAAAAGGAGCATTGCTGCCTGTATTCACCAAGGGCATCATAAATTATATAGTTTTTTCCAGAGCAAAAGCCATGGACATGAAAAAGCCAGATTTCAACTTTATGCTCAAACAATTGTTTTGAAATCAAGCATGCCGTGATAAAGTCCCACAAGCTGCATCTTGACCTGCAGTTTGCCAGCCATGTCAATTCTTATGAAGTTTCTCAAAAGCATAATGAGCACAAATACCAGTGCTCGTCAGTTCAATGTGGGTTAATGCATTTTCTGGTTAGAATTACCCCTTAGGAGGTAAACATTGTCATGCATTCATTGTTACCTCACAGTCAACAGTTATCCACATACCCTAATTTTCTTGCAAATGTTTGATTCTGATTGGTTACTGAGAGGCAACATGAGAAAGGTAAAAACACAGTTTATTGAGCGTAGGGCAAAAATCCTTATAAAACATGGACTCATATTCTCTAACAGGGATGCCCAAATGCAACCAGATACTCCATAGATCAAGAATCTACAGTTCTTGTAAATATTACAATATATGTAGAGCCAAAATTTTTTTTTTTTTAATGTTGAATAGAGCAGGGAAGGGGTTTTTGTGTGCAATTGGTGTATCATTGGAAAACTTTCTCATCACTTCCTGTACCAGAGATACTACAGGAAGTTAGAGGAAATCTCATAAATAGAGAGACTATTTACCTATTTGACAGTTGTCCCAAAAACAGGTCTCCCCCTTACCTCTTGCTCTGGAATGAGATGATTCACTCAGAAATGAATGATTCTGTAGGTCTGTGAAGGTTTACATGTATCCAGATCATGGTATACATAGTAGTCGATAATCATAATTAAATGGACTTGTTCTATAGCTTTAAAAGAGTGTTGGCGTGAGATGTTTTCAGCGTTTTAGAACATTTGCAGATGAATCTAACTTCTAATAGGTATGCTTCTGTAAGAGAATATCTGATGCAGAAACGTAACATTTCCATCAAGTGATGGCAGACACATGTATTACACTTCTTATTGGTGACATTTTGTTTTTTTCTATAGGTCTTCTTAAAGAATAAAACATTTGTAACTAATTTAAGTCTAATTTCCTTACTCATATTTCAATAAATCAATAACATTTTTGAGCAATTGTATAATTATATTAGCTAGAGTCCAGGAGGAGATTGATCGTGTGATTGGGCAGGAGCGAGAACCACATATTGAGGCCCGGAGCAAGATGCCATATACTGAGGCCGTAATCCATGAGATCCAAAGATTTAGCAATGTGATCCCTATGAATGCTCCCCATTCGGCTATCAAAGAGACTACGTTTAGAGGTTACACTATTCCAAAGGTGAGAAACACGAAAGTTAAAGAAGATGGGGGAATGTACTGGTTGACATGGACATGTTGTATTTACTTTTCATAGAGTATTCTGACACATCCATTCTTTGGAAGATCTGCTCTTAGGACAATTCGGATCACTGTTCAGCCTTCAAGGGGCTAATTTTTAATAAAGCTGTATCATTTTCCCAGTCTTTACAGGCCTAGTGGAGACTTACATTAGAACTATGGGCAAAAAATAAGGATTACATATATGTCGAACTGTGTCATTTGCAGAAACACAGCCATTTTTGTTTTTCTGAGTTTCCTGTAACATTGTTTTATTAGCTGTGGATCCTGCCACTAGATCATTCAGGCTCACACCTAGGTGACAACTCACCGTGTGACAATCGTGCACGATTCCACATGGATTGCTGTGCGGTCAGGAGTCGCCAAGGTGTGAACCGATCGTGCTGTGGGTGCCATTATTTTCTATTGGGACCCCAGTCGTGCCGAGGCGGATCGCGCGGTTTCCCACAGCAAATCCATCCGTGCTTCTGAACGCGATCACGGCTAAAACAGCCTTGCATTGTGTATCGTAAAAAAAAAAGGTACTTGTACCTTTTTTCTGCGATTGGCGTGCAGATGTCACCCCATTGAAATCAATGGGGCCGCGCGGCAATCGCTGCCTGCATTGTACATGACCGCACGACACCCAAGACGCGCGTCCTGGGTGTCGTGCAGTGTAGTGCAGGTCTGAACCTAGCCTTTAGGGATTTTTTTGTAAGATGTAAAGGTAATCTAGTATAAATTTCAGGAGTAAAATTTCAGAGAGAGGGTTCTGCTTAGACAAAAGTAACATTTCTAGATGTTCTCTATTGAAAACCTTCACTTTTTTAATTCAAGTCCACTTAAAGTAAGGGACAAACAAATTGAAGCTCAACTCCAGCTTTGGTTTTGTTTTGGTTTAAACCTAATTAATAAAAGGTTACCATTGTGGGCAGCCCCGTTAGGGTTGTCCAAACCCCATTAACTGTTACTTGTTGGATAGGTGTGTCATTAATAAAAAATATAAAGCCAATAAAAAACGAATTCATATACTGAATATTATCATTACAGGTATTAATCAAATACAGTTTGCTAGAATACAGTATAATTTGCTTTTGACCTTTGAAAAACTGATAAGTAAAATAGATAAGGTAAAAATAAAACACATTTCTTTTTGTAAAGAATGTAATGTAAGTATACAGCTGGAAAATTGGAGGAAATTGATCTCAAACTTCTTAGGTCCAGTAGTGGTTACTCTCTCTATATCCCCTTCTTGTAACATCCTTACAGGAAACATGACCATGCTCATTTTAAAAAGAAGGATGTTGTATTTGGTAATTGCTTATAAGACTTGTCAGTATTATCTAGCCTAAACATAGGAACTTTTGAGACAATGGTGGATACAAGCTATGTGTAATCTGCAGTTTCATAGTTTAGTAACATCTTCTTATATTTCTCTAGGGTACTGGAGTCTGTGCCTTGCTGTGCTCTGTTCTCGGGGACCCTAATTATTTTGCCACCCCTCGTAAATTCAACCCAAACCACTTTTTGGACTCTGATGGACAGTTCCAGCGAAATGAAGCCTTCATGCCATTTTCTATAGGTATAATAATATAGAAAGCTGTAATCTACAGTACTCTCAAATTTAATTAAGAAGTAAAGATCAAGTCCATATTATGACTTCAACAAGCCTAGCTTAAAATAAAAACTAGTTCTGGCATATAAAGCACATAAGCCTATACTTTAGGATGTGAAAAAACCTATAGCAAACCTAGTACAGCAATAATGGATGTATATTAAGCCGCTGGAGGCAGAACTCTTGCCAGTCAGGTTGATGCAGCAGGTGAAGCCTTCTTCATATGCCAGATTCATTTTTCCATTAATATATGCATTCTAACAATTGCCATAGCAACTAAAATTTACTGCTGTAGGGTCCAAACTCAGCACAAACATATCATTGGCTACAAACTCTCAGGTAGACTCCTGCCCCAATTGGCAGACTTCCAGTTCAGGTCAAGTCTCCAATCTGCTGTTCAGATTTCCAGAATATTTGGTTAAAAAATAAATAAATTTTTTTTATATTTAATATACCAAAAGTCACCACATTTAAAACACAGCAGAGGAGAGGTGAGAACTGGCAGGTTCCCTGTGATGAGTGTCCGTATATACACTTACCATTGGGAGCAGGCAGTTCTGTGCTACTCTTCTGCCTACACCCCTCTCTTCCCCTGATCTCGGGGGAGGAAGGAGAAGATGCAATACAATGAGCTGCTATATCTTGGTACATCGCTCCTTGCTCCTTCCCAGATAGCAAGGATAACTTGCCACAAACTTGTGTCAGGGTTAAATTGTAATTCTTGTTAACTTGCTGCGCCCATTCATGGCAAGTTGTAGACTTGCAGAACACTCGCAGCACAAGTTCTAGTTGACACTTTTTGAATTTGTAGCAAATTTGCTTGGCAAGTCTACAGCAAGAGTCCTGCAGGTCTTAGCAAGAGCTCTGCAAGCTCGCTGGTCTGGAGATTTGCAATGCAGACTTGCTGTAATTGTGCAACAAAATTGTGAAGCTTGGCAAGTCTGCAATAGTTTAGCAAGTCATTTTCAAACTTGCAGCACAATTTCTTGCTATCTGGGTTGGTGATAGAGCGCCAGGTGTGTGTTGTCACTGTGCAAAATGCACTACGAGGAGCCTCTGTGTAGTAGGGTTACTGTACACACACATATACATGAAGCAGTGCAAGGCACTGTACCATGTACAGTTTATCAGGTCCACAGTTTGTATCCTCTTATGGTAAAGAAATTCTAACTTTGTCTTCCCACAGACCATTATTTCACAAAAAGAGTGTCGTACAGCTTAGTGGTTCAACGTTAAAACAGCCACACACATTCTCTGTATGAAGATAGATCATCTATTGTCCAGTGCAATGTCCATCTATAAAATAATTTCTTCTTTTACATAATCTTCTCCACCATTGATAGCATTCATTGTTAAAAAAGAAACTACAGTACCGTGTCCGTTGAAAGTATTTTCTCTCCTATATAACCTTAGAGAGACAGCGTCTGTCAATGTCTCTTACTGCTTTTGGGTGTATGGGTCAAACATAGTTGGCCCTGCCAGGATTTATGTTTGTGTCCATCCAGTTCTTTCACAAAACCCTGCCAGCTTGGTGACCTCACTTTTTTTCACTGTAGTTAATCGATACATCTTAGGCACTCCCTTCACACTAAACTAAAGCTAAATGTCTTGTGGTTAAACCGGGACTTCTTATTATGATGCTGTAAACATTGCAAACACAGGCTGGTCTTACCTACAGAGGTTGTGTCTACCAATCACCAAGCTGCCAGGGATTTGTAAATCTAAGAACATGATGGGCAAAATGGCTCATGCTTTGGCAGGACCAGCAGTGAGAGATATGGATGGGCTCTGAGAACACTGGTGAGGAATTGAAAGTGAGAGAGGAGGATACATTCAAACAAAAGGAGGAAAACTTGAAATGGACTTGGTAGTGAGGTTTAAGACACTGAACTCTACCAAAGGTGGGGACAATTATGTAAAAGAAAGTGATCTTTATAGATGATTTTTACACCAGACAATAGATGTTTAGTCTCTCTAATATGATAAGTAACACTACACCCCTTCTATCACTTAAAGTGACATTAAACCCTCAGATGTTTTTTAACATAAACCAATACTGTAATGTGTGCCTTACTGTAATCCATGGTTGTTTCCCTTCTCTTTGCTGCTCTTCCTTTTAAATCCTTATCTCTTCTCTTGCTTGGGGAGAACTTCCCTTTGCAGCTGAGTGCCTCTTCCTGTAGTGCTGGCTCAGGTTGTGAACCTGCACACAGACACCGTGTATCCATTTCAGAGACAAGGCAGTCTGCTGCAAAACAGAAGTTCTGCCAAGCATGAGAAGAGATACGGATTTAAAAGGAAGAGCAGCAAAGAGAAGGGAAACCACCATGAATTACAGTAAGGCACACATTACAGTATTGTTTTATGTTAAAAAATCTGAGGGTTTAATGTCACTTTAAGACACTGGCGGAACTACCAGGGTCGCAGCGTTCGCAATTGCGACCGGGCCCTGGCGTTCCGCCACTTGGAGGGGGCCCAGCGAGGAAGAAGAGGGCCCCCCCGAGATGGTGCCACTCCTTCCCTGCCGCACAGCCACACACAGCATGTACGGACGGCTGTGCGGCAGGGATGGAGAGGCTGTCACCTGTCCCGCAGAATGTGCTGCAGGCACCGCCGGGCAGCACATTCTGCTGTGTGTGGGCCCTCTACACTTAGCCCCGCCTCCTGGCAGCAAGTACTCATACTCGTGAAAAATGCCCCGATACTAAACGCAGATACCGGTGTTCTGTCGAGCACCGACACCGACGTAGTCGAATTTGCCGATCTCAGCATCTGCGCTTGCGCACAGACCAGTATTATCGAGGAAACCCGGATTTATTTATAAAGTATTTGTTTAAATCGTTAATTGTGACCGTTAATAATATTACATCCATCATTCACTGCCATAGACGGCATATTATTAACGGTCACAATTAACCATTGCAAACAAATACTTTTTAAATAAATGCCGATTTCCTTGGTAATCCTGTCTCTACGTAAGCGCAGATACTGGGTCGGCGTTCTCAATAACACCGGCACTAACATTTTAAACAAGCGGGTGCCTGAGGTCCCACGCTTGCTGGGGACCTCGGCAGCCTTCCTGTCAACCATGCTGTGCCATGGCGGTTGGGGGGGGGCCTTCATGGTTTCTTGCACCGGGGCCCTTAAGGTTCTAATTACACCTCTGACTTAAGATGTGCAAGTAACTCAAACAGTGATGAAAGTCACATTGAAAAAACCCCATATACATTGCTAGGATTGCATTATTTCTTTGAAACTGCTGCCTGTAAATTGATTTCAAGCTCTGGACAGACTTCTAGGTTGAGGAAACAAGCCCATTTTAGAAACAGGGATGAACTCAACAGTGTTAAAACTGTTAAAAACAGATTGGAAAACATATTGAAATACTGAAAAACTGGGCAAAACTACCAAATCAATTCAACATATAGCAATATATTTTTACTATTGTCTCTACAGGGAAAAGGATGTGTCTTGGGGAAGGCTTGGCTCGTACAGAACTTTTTTTATTCCTTACCACCATCTTACAGAAATTTACACTGACTTCAGAAACCCAGTTCTCAGAGTCTGACATCTACCCTAGGATGACTGGCTTTGCCAATGTACCCATCCCATATAAGATAGCATTTGTACAACGCTGAGTGTCTTTTATTGCTTTTTATTTTTTTTAATCTGTATAACCACTAAATGCTTTTGTTCCAAATTGTATATCTGCTAACTCATTCCTAACAGCTGACTTGTATGCACCACTCAACACAAATTGTCAAGGATGTTCTGAATATTTGTTGTGTCTTGTCAATGACCTATGAAAAAATAATACACAGAAGGTGCTAAGTCTCCAATAAAGCTATGACTTACAACACTTATGGGTTTATTTGTATAATCTCTGACCAGAGTATAGCTGCCGCTTGCACTGCACTAGTGTTCCTAGATGGAGCTGAGGAGTGTAGGAAATTCCTATACTCTGTAACACCATCAAGCAGCACTAATGCTATGCAAATGGTATCTGCCCAGCTACAAACTGGGTGGAAGGTTTGTAAATAAACTAGTTGATATTGGTAAGTGTGGGTAAGGTTTACTGGCAGAAATTATTTTCTCATAGAAATTGATGTAAGAAACATAACGTACCAAGTGGGAACGGCTAACAACAAAGTAGGAAGGGCTACAAACTTCCAATATGAAAGGACTTGCATCTAAAGCTGAAAGGAGGACTCTCTGAGAGAAACAAGAGAGACTGTCAAGATCAAGAACCCGTTTTCTTGCAATCACTTCCCTGGAGTCCTAGTTGCTAAAGATATCATAGACCAGCTATAATAGAAGCTAAGTAACTTTTATTCTAGTGTATCCCTACTGCATACAGACTCTTGCTAATAACTATTTGCTAGGAAAGAATGGAGAATAGCATATGAATGTGTGTATTTGTACATATTTGTATATTTTTAGCATTCTGTATGTTTTTCTGTAACTAAGTAGTATGTGTTTGAAGGCTGGCCGAAGGCTAGCCTGGATTTGTGGGAGGAGCCTGAACAAAGCATTGGAATTCTTCACCTTTTGCCGGTCACATATTCCACTTCCGCTGTGGGTGTGATTACATTAAAATGCGTGACCAGGTGACTGGTCACACATTCCAATCCAGTCACAATCTTTGATAGAACACAGGCCACGCCCTGCCCCCAACCCAGTCACAGAGCTGTGTGGAGGAGGGAGGAGACAGGGAGGAGCCTCTCTGTCCCTCACTTGCCTGTCACTGGTGAGGCATCGATATCGGTGTTCTCAGTGTTTTTTTTTTTTATTGGACAGCTTGGACCAATGGCGCTTTGCCATTGCCATTGGTCCAAACCCTCCACAGAGCTTTAGCCTCTAACACAGAGTAGAGGCTGTTGCAGCTCTTGCCTCACTAAGTTAGGTTACACAAAGCAGTGAGGAAGCCGCTGCTGTGTAAACTAACATAGCTGTCAAAAGCCGGATGAAGCGCCGCCTGTAAATAACAGGCAGCGCTCCATCCTTGACAGGTTACACAGCGGGTAGGCTTTCCTTGCTGTGTAACCTGTTAGAAACCAGTCTGAATGAAGAAAAAGTTGTCAGCTTCAGACTTGATGCTGCCAGCTTTTTCTTCCATAATGCTAGGTGAGGCTCTGCCTCACCTACCTCACCTAACCGCACATCCCTGGTATACATACGGTATCATTCTTGTTTAGTAAAAGCACATTAATATACTGAAGTGAACAATGTGAAACCTCGCGGCACTACTCCAATCGAGTTAAGCAGCAGCTGAAATCTGTGTGGTCAGATATATAGTATAAAATTAATAATAAAATCCGCGCTGTGTGAATGAATCTACAAAAGTGTCAGATATAGTAGATACTGGCCGTGAAATAATGTGATACAATGTGTAAAAAGTGCGAATCAAAGAAGAAACGCATGTGTATAACATGCACCTCAGTGTAAATACATTGCTACAAAATATCCATAATGAAAAATTAAATACAATAGATATTAGCTGTGAGACAATGTGATGCAATGTGAAAAGAATAACAACTAGAAAAAAATGCATGTGTATAACATGCACTTCAGTGAAAATAATATATGGTTACAAAAATGTCCATGATCCTGGATCTTCAATAGTCCATTAAGAAAATAGAAGATAAAACAGTGGATGTAAAATAATCTCAGTCTCCTTTAGCAGAGACCCACCAGGGTCTGTATGCACTCTTTCTCTAATTCAAACCAGTTAGAGGAAGCACCTGATGCCGAACACCTCCCAGTGATTACCTCCTCTCAGGTACAGACTCTCTTGCAGTCTCAGGAGTTGAAAGCAGTCAATTCATCCAATGGACCATACATCAAACAAAAAGTGGAAACTCGTAGTGCAGATGGTTTTAAAAAGATACTAAACTTTATTAAAAAAGGATACTACTCACATATCATAGATAAAAGTAAGGTTTTTATTAAGCAGCCACAGACACTGTGTGCAATCGCTCAGCTCCTATACTACCCCTTACGTACGTTACGTCAAGGGGCGTGAGTTTATCAGGGGTGTGGAGACAGGAGCTAGACTGAGCGCATATATTAAGACCAGTTGTCATGGTAGCCACCATATACAAATGGCGGCCATGACATTTTCAAAAATAAAACAGCATACTGAACATGTTATAACTGAGAGTAACATACGAAAAAGTGATTAACACTGTGGCACTTATTACCCTTCATCCAGCTAAGTGGGTAAATCATTAAAGCATACAGCACATGTTAAGTAGAAAATAAGTAATCTAAAACAAATAATACAAAACTGTAAACCACCTCAGTATAAGTCTGTTAAAGAAGACAGGGTGATACATGAATGGCAAAATCTTACTATTGCTGTAGTATACCATATTGCTTCCTGTTATTCATTGCATGCCATGTGAGAAGACCTCTAGAAGGAATACTATGAGGGCATGTTCTTCTAAGGGATGATATGAACTTATCCTGTCCAGAGAAACTTAAAAAAAACCTATACGTGAATACAACTAGGTGAGTCCCTATATGAACAAATGTGACCTGTCACAAATCGTGAACTCCCAAATAATAAGGGGTAAAAAACCCCATGTTTAACCCCTTCATGACTGAGGCCCTTTTTTCAATTTTTGCACCCATGTTATATTCCACATTTTAGGCCTGAAAATGACGTAAAACCCCCCAACATTATATATTTTCTGAATGCCAAGACCCTATAGAATAAAATGGTGGTAGTTGAAAATTTTTATGTTGCGCAATATTAGCGCAACTCCTTATTAAACCCCAAAATTTAATGACAAATTATATATTCCGTCCCTTTGTCACCTTGTGACTGGACAGTGAAATGAGAAGCAGCACACAGATGAGCTCATCTCTCTGCCTCTTTGTTCTAGCTCCTTTCAGCATACTCCTTGTACTGCAGCACGACTGACTTTGCACTCACTTCTCACTCAGTTTAGAGTTTATCAGGCCTCATTAGCATCATAAGCAAAGCTTCACCTCATTCACTAAGCTAAGAGACAATTCACTTGCAAAGTGAACATTTTCTTTCAAAGTTAACTGCCTATTTGCCTTTAGTAAATCAACCCCAATATGTCACCCATACTGCATAGTTTTTATTTACACGAACATTAATGAAAACTTATGATATGTATCACTGTAGGTTGGATGTTCCCATATGCTAAACTATAAGAATCCTTTAAGCTCCCCCCTCTATTGTGCGAGGAATGAAGATGATCTTTCGGGCTGGTGGGACGTTTTCAATACCACTTTCTGTGGGGGAGATGTCAAGATCTTTGGGGTCCACCATCGATTTCAGGGTGAACTTTTGCAGGGTAATGGTGAAGAAAAGGAAAAGCTGTAAGCGCACCAGACTCTCCGCAATGCAAGCTCTTTTTCCTAGGATAGTGAAATTATACAACATGAGGCAGCACACACAACAATGAGCCAACATACAAAAAAAGATTAATATATCAATGGTTTTGTTCCATACGCAGTAGTGAACGATCAGTTAAAGACCCCGTCACCAGACCATTCATTTCAAAAAAAATCTTTCCTTTACAAAGTGAATTTTGGTTTAGCCTATGCAGATTAGGTGACTGACTTAAATCATCCAATCACGTGCAAGTAAAAATTATAATTTTTAAAATGTTCCTTGCATTGATTGGGTATTCTTGGGTATGATTGGGTATTCTTTGCATTTACACTTAGCTTTACCTCATTCACTCCATAGGGATGATGGCAAACTCCTTTTGCAAAGTAAAATCCACAAATGAACATGTTCTACTCCTGTAGTAAATCAACCCCACCATCTCTGTGGATATCTATATAAAGGCAGACCTAAGAAATTTAAAGTCTTATTTAAATAAAATTTTAATAAAATGATCTCTGCCTATTTTTGGAAAATACCAAGCATACAGTTGGGCAAACAAGTCTGCAAAATACCGTAGCCATTCCCTAACTTTCTCTAATTAATACTATAGTTAACCCATTCCTGCTGAGCACACGCGGCCTCGCGTAGGTGGCCCTTCTGCTAGCACACCTATGTTTGTGCTGGAAGCCTGCTTTGTAGCACTCCCCAAGCACTCCCCAAGCATGGAGACTGCGCTATCACTGGCAGCTCTGGGTCTTGAACTAACACACGGTAGGAAGGAGGACAGTTTATGATCACTGTAATAACCAAGCACAGGTTATTAGTGGTCATTAGCTATAGAACCCTCTTTCTTCTTTGTGAGGAGAAAAGGGATGCATTGGGGTTGATTTTACTAAAGGCAAAAGGATTTACTTTGCAAGGGAATTTGCACTTTGCAGTGGAAGTCTCCTTTAACCTCTTGCCGTCCGCCCGTAGTAAAAAAACGGACGGACGACTTAGTGAATGTGGTGAAATTTCACTTTGCAAATAATACTAAATCATGTGCAAGAAAAATAAAAAATAAACAATATTTTTGCTTGCACATGATTGCCAAGAGCTTCAGCAGAGCTTCACTTAATTCCTTTAGGTAATTTCCCCTGCAAAGTGCAGATTCCCTTGAAAAGTAAGCAGCCTAAGTAAATTAATCCCATTGCATCTTTTTCTCCTCACTAGAGGGGAAGAATGTATACAAAAATTCTGTGTCTTTACCATCAGTGTCAGTGTTAATATCAGTGTCAGTTTTAGGAAGGATTTAGGTAGGATTAAACAAAAAGCAATATGCACACTGTTGTTTCAGGGCCCTACTATGGGTACAAACAATAAATAATGCACACATCCTGTATGTGGTATCACGTAAAAGTAAGGAGTAGGAGAATTTATTTTGGATTGTTTTTTTTGGTGGTGGGTCATAGTAATGGCAAAAATATACAGCAAAATTTAAAAACTATTATTTTTTTCTACTTTTTTGTACTGAATTTCCTATTATCAGGAGATAACCACTGAATGAAAGCCCAATTTGATGTAAACAAAATAAGGTATAATTCATCTGGATGCATTAAGAAGTTAGACAGCAAAGAAATGTACAGGTTTATTAACACATGGCAAGTTGGTTCAGACATTAAGGTTTCTTTTACCCTCATTAAGGAGTTAAGAGTTTTCTGCTGCCATAAATTATATTCTGTTATCTCCCTTCTTTCTAAAGGTGGCCATACACTGTATAACCATCGCAAGACCTTAGTCTTGCGATGGTTGTAAAGTGATTAAAAAAAGTACGATCTGCCCATCTTGGACAGGCAGATCGCACTCTGGATCATCGCAAGCCCGCCCCCCTGAGGGGCGGGCTTCCGATGACCGCAATGCTGAACGGGCAGCGTGCACAGACCGGCCCGTTTGGCATTTGTCTCCCGAGCACCGTTCTAACCAGCCGAAAATCGTACGATTCTCAGCTGGTTTTCCAACATGCTCCTTAGACAAAAGACGTGCGACCGTACAGTAGAAACGGTTGCACGTCTTCGTTCACACTGTTCGATTCTCGTACGATCGCGGGATTTCCCGTGATTCTTGTACGAGAATCGAGCAGTGTATGGGCACCTTAAGGAAGGTATGTTGTCCTCAAGACAAGGCCACAATCTTGAGTGACTAAATGGCTTACTTTGTCCCTAAATATGGTTAGAAGTGTTACAACACTTTATTACCTGCAGCAAATGGTAAAAATGCATTATTTTTCTTAAATTTGTCATTTTCATCCAAGAAATGTTTGATGTTGAACTCCCCCGGAGTTTCAAAATGTGCGGGATCCCGTAATGCCGTGGTCAACATGGGAAAAACATTGGTACCCTAAAAAAAAAAAAAAAGTTATTTAATAGTTAATTACAAATTCAGAATGTTGATTTAATGTTGCTAGAGAGATCTATATCTGTGTTCTAGGACCACTGGCACTACAGATTTTTAAAAGCAAATTAAAACATACTCAATAGCATTAAAAGAAATGCTATACAGTTTGTTCAAAGACATTTGAGATATGCTTGTAAAAGAGGTTAGCTTTATGTGGATAATTTTATCAATCTGCCTTATTTATTTGTTTTAATACCTTGTCTCTATATATGGATTTTAATTTTATATGTATGTGGGGGCATCCGTATTTATTAATAATATGTTTTCTCTTCCTTCTGCTTTGTAACACCACACAATGATTTTCTGCTCATTCTCACAAAGCCACAAGTCCATGAGTAAGGTGACACATTGAAAACAATGCATTCAATGTGTGGCTGATAAATTATCTCAACAGCTATTAAGCAGTTTAAACATTTGATGTTTTCTATTGTGAATAAAATACGGGTTTATGAGATTTGCAAATCATTGCATTCTGTTTTTATTTTTAAAAGATTTTACACAGCATCCCAACTTTTTTGGAATTGAGGTTGTAAATACATTCCAGGTGCACTGCCAGCATGCTGCAGAGAGGGACCTTTGCTGTCTGTGTGGAAGCAGTGGTCTCTCTGTATAGATCAGACATGTCCCCTAATCGGAGTCAAAGCTAGAGGTCTCCAATGCGCAGACAGTATGACCTTTGTTGTTTGTAGAACTATAGCTCTTACTTATCAGGGGGCATGTTAGACCTCTGCCGCTGCTTCCACACAGATTGCAAGGATCCTTTTCTACTGCATGTTCATCCATTTATTTTGTTCATGGGAGGTGACATGGACAAAAACAACAACATTTTGGAGTAGAGTGGGGAATGGCTAGAAGGACAGTAATGAAACCTTCAAAGAAATTGCAACCCTTCACCACTCTATCAAAAAAATATTGGTTAAAGTTTGGCTGTCTGTGTTGTCCAAAAGTCACTAAAGAGATTAAAACATCTACCTGAAATGTACAGATGGAATAGCAAAAGTTTGAATTTAACTGGATGTCCTGGACACGGGTCAGTATGTATTTTAGAAACCTTGATACTGCAAATGAGGCCTGTAATTGATTTATTTGTTAGCTGACTTCTCCTGACAGATTTTACGTACCTTGGGTATGTTGTAACCATGGAAAGTAATGTCTCTGCTGGTGGCTCTGGCAAAACCAAGTGGAAAGATGTCACTGTACCTCTGGATCTCATGAACAAGAGCATTCATGTATGGCATCTGGCTCCGATCCTCTCCTCTAGGTTCCCGGGCTTGGCCAATCACTTGATCAATCTCTTCATGAATCTTTTCTATAAAATACCCAGAAAACATCAATAGATGTTCTTAGCTTTCCTTGTTTCACACTCATTTCATTTTTCTATAGAACAGATTATATATATTTTACTCTCCTCTTTAACAAGCAAGTCTGCCTGACATATTGTAACGATCGCGGCTTGCGTTCCACAGGGGACCGCAGCCGCAAGCAGGAAGTGAATCGCCGATGCATTCCAGCGTGGAACGCATCGGGCCGCCCAGCGTCACCAGCACCTCCCCTTCCCATCCCACATAAAAAGCAGGAAGCCGGGTCAGTATGGCGTTCTATTATTCATCTATGAATGCCAGCTGACAGCCTGCTCCCTGCTTTTTGGACCGAGAACCCCAGAGCCTGGACCCTTTCTCTTGGAACCTGCAAACAGCAAGTATACAGTCTCTGTGAAAAAAAACAACTCACTGCGGAAACAGCAATTCGGGCCCTGAAGCAGGGAAAACGTCCCGTGGAGGACTTTATAGCCGAGTTTAAGCGATGGGCCCGAGAGACCGAGTGGAACGATATCGGTCTCTGGAATCAGTTTCGCCTCGGTCTCTCGGAGACATTAAAAGATGAGTTGGCTAGGGCACAGATGCCCACTTCCCTAGAGGGCCTCAGTCCATACGGTCTGTTGATGTCTCTGCCCATAACAGAAAAACCGTGGGATTCTGTGTCATTAGACTTTATTGTGGACTTACCTCCATCCTCGGGCCACAACACCATCATGGTGGTGATAGACCGACTAACTAAAATGGCCCATTTCACCCCACTAACAAAGGTGCCCACCTCAAAAGAGACAGCTACAGCATTTTTAGGTACCGTGGTGCGTTTACATGGCATACCTTCCCAGATCATCTCCGACCGAGGAGTTCAGTTAATTTCCCGGTTCTGGAGGGCTCTTTGTGCTTCCTTCCACATTGACCACCGACTGTCTAGCGCCTATCACCCCCAGACAAACGGGCAGACAGAGCGCATAAACCAATGCTTGGAGCAGTACATTAGATGTTACTGCACGCACCTTCAGGATGACTGGTTCGAGTTACTTCCACAAGCGGAATTCGCTTATAACAACTCTACCAGCTCCTCTACTCTCCACTCCCCGTTCTTCGCGAACTACGGATTTCACCCAAACCCTTACCGGGTTCTGTGATTTCCTCTAATGTTCCAGCAGCCGTTGACTACCTGGCGAACCTCAGGAAAATGACTGAAGTAGTACGTGAAAACCTCAACCGTGCCCAAAACACACAGAAACGGTACTATGACCTTCGGAGGAGACCCGCTCCCGATTATAACATCGGGGACAAGGTCTGGCTCTCCACCAAAAATCTACGGTTGGGAACCCCCTCCAGAAAATTGGGGAAACAGTTCCTGGGTCCCTTCCCTATAGAACGGGTTATCAACATGAACACCATGAAACTCACCTTGCCTGTGGGTTTCAATGTTCATCCCACGTTCCACGTCTCCTTGCTCAAACCTTTTTGTCCTCATCCGTTCCCCCGCTCGCGCTACTCCTCCGTGTCCCCCGGTACAAGTGAGGGGTCAGGAGGAGTACGAGGTGGAAGAGATCCTATGGCCGCCCAGCGTCACCAGCACCTCCCCTTCCCATTCCACTTAAAAAGCAGGAAGCCGGGTCAGTATGGCGTTCTATTATTCATCTATGAACGCCAGCTGACAGCCTGCTCCCTGAATATTGAGATATTTGGGGTTTAGGTAAGCAGAATTTGGTCCCCTTACTTTGGATATTTCATAGAAGACCCACATAGGGAGATCTTACTCTTCTCCCTGTTCAGTCATCGCAGCCTGGAGTTTTGTTTTTTAATCTAAGCTACTGTTGTAATTAGACCATGTAAGTTCTTCAGATTCCTATGGAGAATTCACAAGAGGGTGCACAGTACAGAAATACCGTGTAATGCACCTTGCTATCTATATGGGGATAAATAGAACTGGACAACATGTAAACAGAGATTCCTTATACAACAGCAATTTTTGAACATGCTACCTAACTAAAATACACAATATTAGTGGAAGCACTTGGACATGTCCATGTATGGAATGTCAGGTTGCATGTCAAGGGACCACTTTTCCACTGGGAACTATAGAAGTTATACAGACTGTCTATCAAGTCCTGAATGAGCTCCATGGATGGATCTATCAGATACTGCTACAGACAGATTAGGACACTGTGACAGTTGGTGGGAAGCAAAAAAGTGTTCCTGGCTAAAGGAATTGCTCCTGGCTCTTATTTATTTTCTACCAGAGAAGCAGGATGTCCTATCACATTTGGGAGATTTCGGCAGCTATTGGCTTGTTACTGAGCTTTAAGCCATAATGTTCAGATTTGGTTAGACTTTTGTTTTCCATGCAGTAAAACAAGGGAATCTTAAAGAAAACATTTCCTGAAAGCGTTGTTGAGGCTTTCTATTTGGAATAAGACAGAAAAAGACAGAGGTTCTGATATTATTAGCAAATATATTATCAGAGGTGAGCACTACTTAGCTAAAAGTAAGCATTAATTTTCCTGAGAATGCAATGTGTGGGTAAAGTCACCAAGGATGAGGTGTTATTTTCTAAAAAGAAAAAGTATCCTCAGCAAGGTCTAGACAATTGATTTTGAGGCATTTTTCTATGAGGCTCCATACTTCATTTTAAGCTTAGGGCCTTCACTTCTCTCAAAAAGTCCATCTGGTATTTTTATAAAGACGTTTATTTGCATCTGAGCTGCTTTTGTTCCCTGCAGTAAACAAGTTGATTTGAATGCAAGAACAACTGAAATGAGCTCAATGCAACTTAGAAGTAGCTTGATTTGGCAGATAAGATTTGCAATTCATGAGCAGCTTGAAGCAACTCCTTCAGCATCTGAAAGGCAAACAAAACCAACTCAAATGTGAGTCAAAGTACCTCAGAAGCACTTGCTGCATTTGACGCCCTCCTGAGTCGGAAGCCCTAGAAGTGACACCACAATAAAATGACACCAGGTATTGTACCTTGTAGCTCGGGATGCTTTATCAGTATTAAGTATCCATAGTTTACGGTAACCGCAGTACTTTCTGTTCCGCCTAAGAACATATCATAGATTGAAGCCTTCAGGTTTATTACAGTAAAGGGTGTTTTTACACCTACATTCTTTTCCTCCTGTAAATGGAAACAAATATTAGCATCACACTTGGAAGAGTTAACTTTTTAACAAACAATTTTTTCTTCAGGACAGAAAAAGACAGAAATCTGCAAAGTTTTTAAAAATCCTTACAATATACACTGATCACTATTTGCGTGGATTTATACTTTAAAAATTCCTGGTGCCAGCTGTCTAACAGGCAACCCATACTGGGATTAGATCATCTTAATTTTCCATATTTACCTGTCCAGTGATATCGTACATCATTGAAGGATACAAGCCCTGATGAAGGGGGATCAGTGAGCCCCCAAAATCTGTTGACCTTTTGCTTTTACATTTAATCTAATAAAGAACCCATAGTGGACTGAATTAATCAGCGTGGCGCTCTCATTATTCCAATACCCTACAAATAGTACCAGGAAGAAGACCTCCTTTGGCAGTTCAGATGATCCAAATGTGTGCAAATGATATTTATGATCCACATCCTGGTCAAAGTATACCCAAAACAAGAAATGTATATTTTTTAGAAATAGATAGAGTGGCGAAGTGTTAAAAACAATGTCATATTTTCAGTGCTGTCTGTGTCCCTGCTGGGGAGATTCTCCATATTTGTTCTGCTGGCCATTGTCAATGAAACAGAGAGTGATGAAAAAATCCAAAATGTTACAGTGGTCACCAGAACTGGAAGAGAGGAGAAATCCTCCAATGAGGACACCTGTTCTGGTGACAACTGTCTAAGCCTTAAGGATTTTTACCTCACCTTGGAAAGATTCTTCACACTTTTCTTTGGGATAGGAAATCTTCCACAGTCTTTGGGATAGGAAATTAAAGGATATCAACTGTGACACAAAGAGCTAAAAACACACAATTGGTTTTACTGCTCAAAACTATTTAAAAAAAATAACAAAATTTGGCTTTAGATATACTTTAACATACCAAGTTATATTTTCACTGCCAAAAAGAATTATATTTTAAACCTATTACTTAAGCCATTGATATAGTTATTGGAAAACAAAGTTAGATTTGTAAAGCACCACCCTGAGAAAACTCACCTCAAAACGCCTCCATATTTTGTCATGTTAGCTTAAAGTGTATTTCCACTTTTGAAAATAAATTTGGCAAACCCCACTATATATTTCTAATATGTGTTCTCATTTACACAGCATACCTAAAAATTATTTTTTACATTTTACATTTTTATCTTTTTCTTTGGAGCAGGATTATACATGCTTTAGGCAGCCTCAACGGCCTTGAATAGATGCCATTGTGTGGATAAGGAGACAGACTGGGGGACGATTTTTTTAAAGGTGCATTAACATACAATGAGTTGAGATCTTTAACCCTTCATTAGGACAGACAGTCCTGCACAACTAGTTTGCAACTGATAATGGAGCCAGCACAGTACAGACAGAGTTTGTTAAGGCACACAGAATTGCCTAGCACCCTCATAAACAGGGTAAACCAAGAAGGATTTTATAATCCTGGAGTTTTCAGCAAAAGAATATCTAAAAAGGTAAGACACAAACTTTTTTTTTAATTTAAGTTATGCTATGTGACAGGGAACATTTAACAAATATATAGCAGGCGTGATCCCAATTTGGCTGCAAAAGTAAACGTACCCTCTGAAAAGCTACCCCCCTTCAGTGAGCTTGGACACTCACACCAAAATCTAGACTGTAGGAATGTCTGAAACTATCCATCTAGGTTTTGTCTTACCTGTCTCATCCTGATGAGGAAACAGTCAATGTAATCTCGAGGACAGGCTGGATCCAGAGTCTCCTGGTGAAGTTTGATGGTCTTCATCAATTCATCCTCAAGGGGTGCAAGAAGAGTGAAAATGTTTCTGTGAGGTCCTGGTAAACAGTTCATGATTGTTGGAAAAAGGTCATACAGCTGTTAAGAGAGTTGATATAACAAGATTCAGCAAAGTAGCAGAACGATCATACTCAGTTCACTTAAAACCATAGCTAAAGCCAAAACTTTTTTTAGTTTTGGACAAAGTGTGGAGTAGTTAAAACTCTGCCTTTTTTTTGTGTGCAACTCACGGTTTTGTACAATCGTGCAAGTGTGAACAGGATACATTGGAACGTATTAGGTTTTATGTTTAGTGTGATTTCGCTAATGTGTGAACGGAGCCTCAACCTGTCCGGCTCTCTCCTACTCTGTCTGCCTTTGAGCGATCCCTGAAAACTCACCTCTTAAAGGAAGCCTATCCTGCCTCAACCTAACTGCCGACCCATTAATTTCCCAAACGACTCATTCCCACACCGCTACCCCCTTCTGTAATCGCTTGCCCCCCCCCCCTTTAAATTGTAAGCTCTCACGGGCAGGTCCCCCCTAACCATCTTGCTTTGAATTATATTATAACTGTAATGTCTTACTTATATTGTAAAAAAATGTTGGTGCTATATAAATCCTGAATAATAATAATAAATAATAATAATAACAATAACAACTCCAAACTTTTGGATTTCACAAAACTTTGTTTCTCAGCAACAGAGGACAGAAACAAATAGAGAGAGTAAATCTCCCCAGTGTTGACACATACTGGAATTAAAACCTGACAGTATTCCACTAGACACTATTTGGATGTATAATAGACACATAAAATAAGCCAAATGTATTTAGAAGAACCACAATTATTTCTATACCAAAATAAAAACTTATTTATTGTATCTATATGGTTGTAAACACTTACATACAGTGCACTACACACTACCAATGAATCAAATTTCATGTTACTAAAAGCAGAGCAGTCCATGTTGTATTGGTTGCTTTTGCTGCCTTGTTCCTTGCACTCACGGGACAAGTCCAATTGCCGTAGGCTGATAACCTTTGAAAACTATACAGTGCACCCAAATGTACCAAATGTAATGGTTAGGGGTGATGACATTTATAAATGTACACAATGTTTGTGGACAGAGATGATTGGTATAAAAAAGGAGGTAAGCTAAAGTAAGTGAAGCAAGTATGAGCAAAAGGAAGAGAAGGTGGAAAGCAGATAAGGCAAATGTTGCAGACATTCAGTTGTCCATGAATTGACTCATCTCTAGTTTGTAAACAGTACCGATCCTTGTTCATATGCCCCTAAGCCATGGCTCTTATCTCTGGATATAGAGAAACATAGATGATAGAATTCCTCACCTGGCCCCAAACAGATGAAATAATATGAAAAGCTTTATGTGACTTCCGTAGGATTTCCATCCACTCCTTGTCATTGTAGCCAAAGCGAGTCCCTGTTAATATTTTAGCAATAATATTGGAGGAGGCACAGGTCAAGGTGGTGCTGGGCTCAAATGGCTCCTCTAAACAAATTAAAGAAGTATAGTTAATAAAAATATAGTACTTGTTGTAGTTGTACTATTCAGTAGTTGGTGAGTGGCTGTTCAGGCCTGAACACTGTATCCTTGGAAGCACCAGTCATTTGCAATTGCTACTATGGATGCCTTTAGCAAATGGGAATGTGGTGAAGGTGAGAATAAATGGGTTAGGGGAGTGAGCTTTAATGAGAACCTGTCACTTTGCCCTTAAGTTACAAAATATCTTAAAAGCTTACAGGTTTTTCTTTACCCCAGGCTTCTGGGGAGATTTACAGACTGTTGCATATGTTCTATCTAGTAGGTATGGACTTGTAGGCAGTGAAGACTTTGCAGATATTTTAGTGACAGCAAAACTCAAATATATAAAACTTTTTCTGTGTAGCTTGGTGCTATATCTAGTCTTCTAACTCAGATATGGAAAAACTCTTAAAGTAGATAAAAGACTGACCATAGTTTGGCGAAAACCCTTATACCAGTTGAAGCCATTTCAAAAAGAAAACTGGGTTGGGCTGTATTATCTGGATATAGAAAAATGCAAAAGTGAAGGGTGATGGAAGAGCACTCCACACTTACCTTTTAAGCTTCTGAAGTGTTTCACAATATGATGTGCCTCCTCCAGGATAGGGTCTTCTAAACTCTTTCTACCCATTCCAAAATCTCTAAGAGTCTGCATGGTAAACTGTCTCAACTGTCTCCATGTATCTCCATTGCTGAAAGACAAGCCTGAACAACAACATCAAGAACATTAACTAATTACAATTTCATTGGAATCGAATTTGTACAAAGTTCTCCTGTCATAACAGAAATATGTGAACTGCCATTGATGACTGCTGCTTCTAGAAAATGTTAGCTTCTTGATGATCATGTTAATAGTAAGACTTTAATAGCTTACTAAACCAATGACTGGGAATATAAAGACAAGGAACTTTGACTTCTCTCTGGCTTTCATTTGCTGTATGCATCTTTTGGGCATTGGTATGACTATCTACATATCAACATATGCTCCTTTATTGTAAATGTATTTGGTAATCAGGTATTACAGGTACAAAATATATCTTAATATCATAGAGATCACAGTACTCATTGTGACAAAATCAGTCCCAGCTGCAGCCTCTCGAATGGATTTAAAGTTACAAGGTAACAGTCTCATCACTGGGGGGGAGATAAATGCTTCCTCCTGCCTGCAGCAAACGGATGACTTTGGGGTTCATTTATAAAGCTATACACTGGGCGGACCCCATTCACATGGCACTAGCGCCTCTATATGGCGCTGATGAGTATAGGATATTTCTTATACTCGTCAGTACCATCTAGGGGCACTAGTGCGCTGCAAACAGCATCTGCCCATTATCTCAGTCTAAGCCACGTCACTTGACTAGAGATTAAGGACTGCATTTTACTAATAAAAGGTAGTGCATTTGAAAACAACAAACAAACAAAAAAAATGCTATTGCTGTATACCATGATTTGTCAGGAATTTATACATACAGACTTGTAAAGTTACTTGTAAAGGTCCACTTTAAATGCCAACATTCAATTTAAAGGAAATCAGTAGTGGGCTGAATCTACCGAGTCAGCATCAATGCAAAACATTTACATTTAATTAGAAGGTATTTTTTAAAGTGTTACTTCTCACCTTCAAACTTGAAGAGACGGTCAAACACGGGCATGGATCCCCGGTTCAGAAAGGTGTCGCCATAATCAGTAAACACCTCCTTTAAGGCTTGATAACCAGTAACAACAATAGTAGGCCTTGAACCAAAGTATACAGTGCAGACGGGACCATACTTTTTGGATATCTGTAGATATTGTAAATGCATTTTTTTGGGATGATTTAATAGGGAATACACATTTTGCATACTGCTCCACATTTTAAATATGGTCCTCTCTCAAACAAAAAACATAAACACAGAGAGCCACCTCTAAGTGGAATACCATGTATTAATTGAAAAGTGAATTAAAAGCCATCAAATATACTCACAAGAGCATGATGTAGGGGGGGGGGAACCATACGCATTTGTTTTTTTTTTTAACTGGGGGTCCCTCCTAACTTTCCTATCAGACCCCACGCCATTTTTTTTAGCTGATGTACAGCGTTCGGCTCCCTTCACTTCAGTTCAGGTATTCACTTAGCTGCCTTTGGCAGCTGAGTGAATAACCCCCTAGATGTTTTCTCCCCTGACCCCTACGTGACTACTGTATCTGACAAGGATGTAGGGGTCAGTGGGAGGAACCACTGAGCACATCAGTGGAGCAGAAAGCCATGTGGGAGATTCACCCTCTATATGAGTCTTCGGTACAGAAGGGGATAGGAAATTAAAAATGCTAAAGTTGTCACCAGAACAGGAGGTGAGGGAAAATCTTACAATACTGATAACTGTTCCAGGGATAACTGTCCCCTCACTTTGGAAAGATTTTCTCTTACTTCCTGTTGTGCCTCTTGGACCAGAAATGAAGGCAAGAAAATGACAGGGGTCTTAACCATTCTGTACTGTACCGAAAACTAAATTTAAAAAATGGCTTCATATAAACTAATGTTTGAAATAAAGTGACACAATCAAAACTTACATGGTGAACTCTATAACAATATAAACACTTTAAGTAACTAAAAATAGCACATTAACTTATACAACCCTGTATATACATTAGACCTACAAGACAGACAGTTGTGGAATAAAGAATTACAAAAAGGTTTAAGACCACAAGAAGGATCTTGCTTTTTATGTAACATATTCACTGTAACATATTCACTGCCACTATCAAGTGCCAAAACAGCTGATTTTTTTACCAGTAGGGCACATTATAAAAGCGAAGATACTGTATTTATTTAAAGACAGAGCCATAGACCCTGCATAGCCCACCCGAGAGTCCGCACAGCCCGCCATAGAATCTGCACATCCCACCATAGACCCCACATAGCCCACCTGAAAGTCCGCACAGCCCTTCATAGAACATATAGAGCCACCTGAGAGTCTGCACAGCCCATCATAGAACCTACACAGCCACCTGAGAGTCCACACTATTACACTAATTGCCAATATTTTTCCTAGACTTCTACTTTGGGAGCTAATTAATAAATTATTACTAAGACCAGTAATCATCGAATGCAGAGGCAATTATTTATTATGATAAAGAGTAGATCGATTTATATAGTCTTACAGATACAACTAGCCCTTTGAGGGCAACCATAATGCTTACGGGGTCCGCAATGAAATTGAGTTTGACACCCCTGCTTTAGAAAGTCATATCATAGTTTTTCTAAATGGTATTAAGCTTTTCATGTACAAAAGAACAGTGACGTACTGAGGCTTTCTAAGCAAATCCTCAAAAAAAGAATTGATTTGTAATTAACCGATGTTAAGTAAATGTATGTTATTAAGCACTTGGGATTGGTATTAATCTTGGGCTCCTGGCTGGCCAACTCTCTGAATTCCTTTGCTTGCCAGTATCCCAGTAATAAAAGAAGAAAAACAGCTACCAGTAAGAAAGACAGGTGGTTTGCCTGATCAAAGTCCGACTGATTGCTGAGATGAAATGGATCAGGTGAATTTCTTTTTCATTACTTGCTCCCTAAAATAACTATAATGATAATGTATATAATTATAGTGTCAGTGGTATTGGTTTTAAAAATAGCTCCCCGTGTTCCATTTAGTGCTGGTTGAATGAGAGCCGGTACGGGGTGGGTTGGCAGCCAAAACCAGTCATTTTAGGGTTGATGTCTTCTTCTGTGAAGGTCATCTCAGAGGATAATGTAAAACTTTGCAATACAGAAGTGAGAAATATAAACAATTCCATTCTAGCCAGACCTTCTCCCAGACACACCCGCTTCCCTGTGTGAACAAAATGGAAATAATATTTGGAATCAATTAAAACTATCATTTTGGATCATTTTAAGTATGTTGATTTTATTTTTGTTTGCAATATTTTTTTCTTACAAATAAATACTTAATTTAGTACCTAGATTTGCAAGGTATGCTAAAAATGTAAAATGAGTAAACAATAGTACCTGCAGAAAAGGGCATAAATGCCTCATTCTTCTTTAAACATCCATTTTCATCCAGGAAGTGTCCAGGATTAAATTTGTTGGGTGTAGCATAATGTTTGGGGTCCCGTAGTACAGAACACAGTAGCGGGTAGACATCTGTTCCCTAAATTCACAACAAAATGCACAAGTATATACAGTACATGTCAAAACCTTTCAGCAATGGAGCTGCACATCATCATCTGACTTGTAGTACAGTGGGCAGACACTTTGTAATAAAATAAACAAACTGTTCCTCTAACGTAGATCAAATAAAGAAATAATAAAAACATCTGGTGTCTAAGTGGTTGCTTTAGCCATCAACAGTCAACGCAATAATCCGCTGAAGTGAACCTGTTCTTTACAAGGTCCAAGCGAGGGCAAGGCAACTGAGGCTCTCGCCTCAGGCGCAGGTGTGTGTGGGGGGGCCGCAGCCAGGGCTCAGCATTGCAGGGAGAAGTGGGGAGGCACAGCCTTCAGCTTTTTCTCTGGATCCCCGCTGCTCTCCCGTTTCTGTATGGGCAGAGGCAGCAGGGATCCGAGGAGAAGTGAAGCGCTGCAGCCGGTGGGGGCGGAAGAGGGAGCCACTGTCACAGCACCATGGCCGAGCAGTGAGGAGAGAGAGAGAGCAGGTGCTGCTCAGCCAGGATCTGACAGCCGGCGGCACTCTCTCTCCTCACCGCTCGGCCATGTTGCACATGATGTACAGCGCTTTGACCATTGCTTTATATCTGCAACATCTCCACTGAGCATCACGGTAGCAGGAGCCACCACTCGCTTCTATCTCAAAGCCGGCAACACAACAATAAAATATTGCTAGTCAGGGGAAACATTGCACAACTAATGCTTTATTACTAAGTACATTCATCTTACAATGCAAATGCCAGAGCAATATTCTTAAAAAAAGATTGAATTGTGGCACTTAAAGGCTCTTTTGCAAGAGGGTACAAAAATGGGACCAATTCACTATATTTCATACAAAGATCATTAAGTACAACAGAACCTTAGCTTGAACGGAGATTCATAGCCAAAGTAAATACCACGTTATTATTAAAATACAATAAAAGTTCTTCCACCACCGTCTCTGAAAATGTTAAGCACCTGCAGTTTAATAGATATTAAAACCATATGGATGTCACACTCACCTTTACCAGGGCTGGCAGTATTCCATCAAAGTGAAGCTGCAGAAAGTTCCCCAGTATTGGCAATGGGAATGGGCCAGGGGGCATCTTGCTTCTCTTCCATAAAATCTTCACATAAATCAGGAATATAATAAAAGATACAAAGCCCAACATGGAAGTGGTTATACTTTGAAGCTCAGTGATGACTGCCATGTTGACTGGTAGTGAATAGTGATCTGAAGTTTAGTCCCCAAAGCACTGTGTTTTCTTTTATAAATTGAAATGTGGGCGTTGTGGGGAAGGGGGGCACTCGCAGCTCATTGCTGAGGGGGTGCGGCAGCTGTCCTGGCTGTGTTTCAGCACATTGGTATATCAGTGATGCAAACGTTATAAGCAATTTTTCAGGTCATAGCACGTCCTAAAGTTGCTCGGCAAGCATTTACCTCTTTTATTTTAAGAATTCTCCACTTGCAAGACACTTAGCTGCCAAATTTCAGATTAATCTCAAAATGAAAAAACGCTGCCCAGAGAGGTTCCACACCTGTTCTTGCTTGTTTTTTGTGTTGTAAATTTGGTTAATAAATTCATGCAGGTTTTTTTTTTTGTGTGAACTTTAGTGGGTTGCAAACACAGGATTTTTCTTTTTGCCTGAAAGTTTGTTACATTGCCATGCTTGCATATATGAAATGTCTGACATTGTATCTGTACAGAGTATCACCTCTTCATATAAAGTTACATCGCATGTCAGACTCCTCATTCTACTTTTAAATCAGTGCCCATTACTGATTTACATTTGGCCTAGGATGCAAGTGTCTAGTACTACAGCAGGAATGCCCAGCCCCATAGCTGTGGTACACATGGGGCAACATGGGCAATTGTCCTGAAGTTTAATTGGACAATTATACCTTTGGCAGGCTGGGTTGAGAGATTTAAAGCGGACCTTTACCCATTTCTTTAAAATAACAACAAACACACCTTTATAAATGTTTAGTAATGACAATCTACCAACACATACTTCTAGATCATTGCCGGCTTTGTATTCTTTGCATTCTGTATTTCTCTTTTCTTCCCATCTTCTGACAGTGCCCATGTTTACTAAGGGCAGATTACTAGCTCTCATATTACTTCCTGGATTTCTGGCAAATGTGACTAGGACATGTGACCATGCACATCAGCTCAGGGGAGGAAAATGCCTTTCCCTGAGATTTTGTGAGATTACAGATGAGATTTCCCAGCAATGCTCTGCTGATGACAAGGCAATCCCAGTATGCATCGTTGTGCCAAACTGAAGTCATTTTTCTCTTTCAAAGCAGGAAGTGAATGCCCTGCAAGTGTAAGTATTTCACAATCACAGCATTTTACACCTGACATGTCTATGTTATTATTAATCATCGTACATAGAGGGATGCATTGGTAGAATTTGGTTTTTGAATGTAAAGGTCCGCTTTAAAAGTGCAGCTTGGCTGTTCCAGTTGCTCCAGGCACATTTACTAAACTTAGCGCTATGGCGCTTCAAGAACTCTGGAGTCGGCTAGAAAAAAAGGATGGGCCTTGGTGTGCTTTTGTGGACAATCAAGATAAGCTTCTCCAGGAACAGATCATATCAAGAGTTAAGAGTGGAAGCCTTAGATGGTCACTAAGTGATAGAGTCCAAAGTGACATTGGGACTTTTCATGCCATCCCCATGGTCCCTCTGTGTGTTGTAAAGTAGCCACTGCTCCAATGCTCGTTCCTGTAAAAAGACTACAATCTCATGTTTAGTTTACTCATTTGTTTTGAGGCTGTGGTACATCAAGGGAGTGAGCTTAGAGCGGTGGCTACTTTACAACATGCACAGGGACCATGGGGAACAAAATTAGCCACCCTCCAGAAGGAAGGACAGTGTCAGCACCAATTCAGTGATGATTTGAGGATCTCTGGCCGAGTGATACACAAAACAGGTCCAGTATTGTTAATAGTTAGGATACTTTTCCAGTCCTACAATCTGGGCCCTGAAATCAAGCAACAAAAAACAGCTTGAAAAAGGATGCACACCATACGTTAAAAGCTTGAAGAAAATTGGCAGCAATTTAACAACATAGGCGTATCACTCTACAAATGTACCTTGTCTTTTCCAATGTTCAGTAACTGCTGCCAAATATGATTATTCAACTTATTAATGCATAATTACTGAACACACTTGGCTTCAGTCTCTCCCCTAGGTCTCAAACTTTACCCAAATGGGTACCACCATGTTGCCTCTGAAGAAAATGAGGCTAGGTTGATATTTAATACCCACATATCAAAGAGAACCCTGCCTGTCCTGTGACAGTGATGTGTTACTACTCTGTACATACATCAGCAGCCGTGGGGAGGGTTTAATACTGATATGTTTAAGTGTATTGAAATTCTCACAATGAACATGTCTTATTTGCTTCCTTTTGGTCTGATAAATATACCATTGACATCATATTGTAATGTTTGTTATGTATAAAAAGAAACACAAACAAAAAATACTGATGTGTTCGAAATTCACAGTTGCATCCTGTGCACGCTTCCTGTGTCATCTCAAGGAATCCTTGCAGTTCTTATATTGCACTACAGAACAATTACTCCCTATGCTGTTGTTGAGATTGTGAGAATAGGTTAGATTCAGTAGTTTAACAACAGACAACAGGGCAGGGCTGACACTCAGGGTTTGTTCACACCATTGAGCAGCATTTTTCTGCAAACCACTGCCCGAGTATGGTGTGAACAGGGCATATAGAAAACAAATGTGTCTCCACACCATACATGTTTGGTGGCATCAGGGCCAATTCGATAATGAGGCAGACTGAGGTGGTTGCCTCAGGAGGCATCTCATTGGGTCACGTGGGTGGAGGGGGTAGCTGGGCTACGAACTAGCAACCTGTAATGCTCTGGCCAGCACCCAACTCAGTTTACTGACATCACTGGTTGCCAAGAGCACCCTGCCCAGCTCCTGGTAACCAGTGATGTCAGCGACTTGGGTGGGGTGCCAGGCAAAGGTACCATGCACCCCCTTACCACCTGTAAACATGTGCACAGAAGAGACAGTCGAGTTGATTTAATAAAGGCAAATACGCTGTTCACTTTGCAAGGGAATTTTCCCTTTGAGTGGGGAACCTTCCCTTAGCTTAGGAAATATGGGGAATATTCACTTTGCAAAGAATATCCAATCATGGGCAAGGAAAATTGAAAAATTGTAGTTTTGCTGGCTCTTGATTGAATGATGGAAGTTTACAGAGCTTCGTCTTATTCACTAAGCGAAAGGAAAATTCTCTTACAAAGTGCAATTTTTCTTGCAAATTGAACAGGCTGTTTGCCTTTAGTAAATCAACTCCATAGTATGTTAATTCTGTAATAAAAAACCTTCAAGATCACGTTTTTTTTTGTTTTAAGGCCACAGTTACATTTTTAAAACATTTTGAACACATGTATTTCAGATGTATACAGTATGTAGCCGTTTTTACTAGATATAATCTTTAAATATCAAGTAAAAATTATACAGTATATGTCACCTTTGGAATAGTATGTCCTCTGAACTCTGTGTCCCGCGTAACTGCATGAGGAAGACCCATTGGAGCCACATCGCAGAATCTCTGAATCTCATGGATCACAGCATCAGTATATGGCATCTTAGTCCGGTCATCAATGCTTGGGGTGCGATTTCCACCAATCACCTTGTGTATTTCTTTCTGGATTTTGGCTGATAAATATTAATGGATGTATTATTTTGTGTATATATATTTTATATACTAAGGCATTGCACCGATGTGAACAGTCCTCTTGCAAGTCCATAAGAAGGTGCATGTTGTTATTTCACAAGTGGGAATTAGTAGCCTTTCTGGTAAATTAACAGGTATTTTTCTGTACTTGCATATGCATGTACTGGCAAGTGTGCATGTATTGCAAGTATGTGCTGCATATGTTTTTTCTTTTTATTTTGTCCTGGCATAGACTGTAAGAGAAACATGAAGGCTTTCATTGCTGACATTTTTATTGTCTCTGGCTTCAATACTTTCAGTCACTTAACTGGAAAAATTATTCAGCAGGTTCCTTTTGTTTGGAAGAGCTCACTGTGAGAAGGCCAGTAGAGTATTTTATACAGCATGGAGAGGGTCATACTGGAAGGTCAGATCCATACTGTTACCATAGCAGCCAAATTCCATCATCTTGAAAGCAAGCTTCGGAGTGGGAGCATGGAGTAACTCTATTCCTTTTGTTCAGTTTTTATAGATGCAGCCTAGATTCTTTTTTTTACACAATGGTTTAAAAGCTTCATTATGTCTTACATTGATGCAACAATCTGTGGACACCAATTATAGGATTAGAGCCATGAACTAGTGTTAAGGGCAGGATTCCTGTGTTATTTTACTAAACCATTAGGATATAATTTTAGAAAAAAAACTGCAAGTAATTATGCACAATATGATCTTTCTTTCAGTATCAGTTGAAAAACAGATTCAAAATCACAATGCAATAAAAAATTGACCCTGTTCAAAACAATAACTTTAGCTAAAGAAAAAACTTTAGTCACCTGTTCAAATGCTAAAAAAAAGTTGTGACCATAATAACCTTTTTTAATTTGTCCGAAGCAGACCGTTTTCCCCGAAAATGGCAACAACTGGGCGGAGCCAACCATGATGTCATGACTGGCTCAGTCCAGTTGTTGTTCTTCAATGACAGACCAGAGTCCTCAGGTTATTTGAGTACACTGGGCTGTCATTAAATGACGACAACTGGATGGAGGCGGCCGTAACGTCACAGCAAGCTCCGCCCAGTTATTTTCATTTGTTCGGGACCTGCGGGAAGACTCTGGCAAGTGCCACTGCTAGCTCCACCCAATTGTTTATATTTTGCCGGCATCTGTCAGATTCTTCATTCTGTGGGGGAAATTCGTTGCACGAGGTTGGGGGGACCATGGTAAAGCACCCTCCCAGTGCCGAGGTGGCCTGGTATCGTAGGGAGGGGGGAAGTGCTTGGTCATCCCCTGCTTTTCCTGCCCTGCCAGGCCTGTGCTAGGATTAAGGGTCTGGTTGGGAATTTTATGGGGTACCCCATGTTTCCCCCCCCATTTTTGGAGGGGGGGG